AAAGCATTCGCCAGCGCTGTTGTCAGCTCTTAGCTCGGGCAAAGAGGTCAAAGATTTTCGCATATAAACACTCGCTGAAGTTGACTCGGCTGGGAGAGCAACCCTGCTGTCATTCCCGGGACAACTTTTCTCGATATAAACGGGGCATAATTAACTTGTGTTGTTAGTCACTGAATTACCATATACTGTATTTAGCCATATGTAATTACTAGATGCGCATGCTCTCATGTCACACATGTCCAATACTCTCGACCAGATTCCAGTGGACAAAACCTGGATTCCGACGGAGTCTAGTCGAAAAATGAAACCGGAAGTTCAGAAGAGTCCACTTGAGTTACCGGAAGTTTAGTCATGACATGAAACCGGAAGTGTAAGCAATACTTAGAGGAGGGTTGGAAAGTCGTCCGATGGAGTCCATCGGATCCATTGGAAACACATCGATTCCGATGGAATCTCAGGAAGTCTAGTCGTGCCATGAGTCAAAACAAGCACACTGAACGTGTAACATAACTCGTTCTTTAAGCCCTAAGTCGAGAATGGCAAGCCTAACAGGCAACAGAACTCGTTCTTAAAGCCATGAGTCGAAACAAGCACGGACGTCGGTACACATAAGTCGTTCTTAAAGCGATGAGTCAAAACAAGCACGCTACACAAAAATAATAACTCGCTCTTAAAGCAATGAGCCGAAACGAGCACGCTACGCGAATGGCATAACGCGTTCTTAAACCTACGTGTCGAAACAAGCACGGTACCCACCTAACATAACTCGTTCTTTAAACCCTAAGTCCCCCAGGCCCTTTATTCGAGACGGACTGGCACGCTTAAAGCCACGAGTCAAAACAAGCACGGTAAAGCTATGAAACGGGGCAAAAGCCCTGCGAAACGAGGACAGTACACAAGTATATGCTTTGTTCTTTAATGGTAACTATAATATGAGCTACACTTGAGTAGAATTATTAAAAGAAACATACTGGTAGGCGGTAGGCATAACATTGAAACTGACATTACAAGGATACAAAATGTATGAAGTTATTGAACAGCTGAAGTTTTAAACCTGAGCAATATTGAATTATTATTTGTTTTGAAAATACTTAGTAAAAAACATTAAGTGATAAAAAGCTATATAAAACATTACATAAATCAGCGCTGGTCACTTCACACATCAACCAGCTGTAGCTACACTTGAGTAGAATTATTAAAAGAAACATACTGGTAGGCGGTAGGCATAACATTGAAACTGACATTACAAGGATACAAAATGTATGAAGTTATTGAACAGCTGAAGTTTTAAACCTGAGCAATATTGAATTATTATTTGTTTTGAAAATACTTAGTAAAAAACATTAAGTGATAAAAAGCTATATAATGTTGACGATACCAAGGGCGCTTTCCATTTGTCAGAACTGACCGGCCACACCATTCAGCAATAATGACTGTGCACTGACAGGAGAATAATACAGGGCAAGTGCAACAAATGACCACACAATTTGTTACGGTATTATAAACAATCAAAAGAAGTTACAAGGTTACAGAAGTAACAGGTAAAAGCGCACTGAAGTCCTTTATTATTGCCCTACCCGTGTTTGGTGATCTATTTATTAATTCTTCTAACAACACTAGCAGGCCAACTGTTACCGAGTCTCTGAACTGAAAATTTAAGAGCGAAACAAGTTGTTACGAAGTAGCGTTTCTCAGCTCTTTAAAGAAGATGGTACTTCGATCATCGATCATCATTATATGATCGCAGCGATCATATGAAAAACCAGGCTTTAACTTTTAACCTTTCAACTTAACGATGCAAAGGGATTCCTTACTAGTTTTTACTGATCGAGGGCAACTATGTTGTTACTGAGCAACCAAACTAGAGAACTTAATCGCTTTGCAAACGATTATCACAAACATGATTTCAGCTTTTGGGTAATGGTAATGGGCTCCAGAAAGCATGACTTGTTCCACGAAAGTGTATGATTGTTTTTTGTTGTTGTTGTTTTGTTTTTTTTTAATAGACCTTGTCACCGTTTTCGCCGCCATCTTAACGAGTAGGCAAACGTGTAAGAAATTACAGTGTTTGAATGAGAATCTAACGTCGAATGATTTCCGTAGAACGGCTGTTCTGAAAAAAATATGAATTGTAAACTAAAGCTTCGCTCCTAAGGATTCTACCAAAAGTAATTGAGAGCGTTACATGTGCCGGAAGACCTAGAACCACTTTGTTACATTTTCTATACATTTGTCTGTGAGAAAGTCTCGGGAAAAATTAAAGACAAATATATGGAAAATCTAAAACACAGGTACAGCCCCAAAATTTTTTAGGACTATCCTTTGCTTTGTAGCTTTAGTTTACAATTGATTTTTTTTTTTCAGAACAGCGGTTTTACGGAAATTACCTTATTACATGAAATTTTGGCGACACTTTAATTTTGCGAATTTAGCGATTTTTCTAAAAGTTGCTTAATTGAAATGTACCAAAATTAAGTGTCACTAAATTTAAATCGTCGCTAAATTAAAGTGTGCACTGAATATGAAATTCCGCCATCTGGTGAGTTTCACTAGACTTTCAATAAAGTCCTTCGTCGGATTTCATTTGGCGCGGGACGAAAGTCGACCTCTCGTGACTTCGTCGCTCGTCGTCGGCCGCTTCGCGGCCAAAAAAGGCTCGCTCCGCTCGCCAAGAGGTCGACTTGGAGAAAGTCTAGAGTTTCACGTGCGTATGCTATTTGACGGTCGATTATGACTTGTATCATTGACTTTTCTGTGACAAAGTACCTTAACTATGAGCGAGAGCAGCATTAAGATAATTATGACGATTACAGTGGCAGTTTTGTTTGTTTCGTTCAACATTATCAGAACGTTGTATGATTTTTAAGTGAAGCTATAGACGTTTATGATCATTTTTATCACATTCGCTAAATTTTCAGTTCGTGAAATCGCGAAAATTAAGTGACTTACATTCCACAATTTACGAAAACTCGCAAAATTAAAGTGCCGCTAAATAAGGGTTTTTCAAAATCGCTAAGTTAACGTGTCGCCAAAAATTGATGTCATAAGGTATTCGACATTGGATTCTCACACAACACTGTAATTTCTCACACGTTTGCCTATCGTCAAGATGGCGTCGAATACCGTGACAAGGTCTATTGTTTCCAAAAACGTTATGCCCTCCTGCGCAGTTCCTTTCAAAAGACAATCAGCTGTGCTATTATTGACATAAATTTTACATTAATTAGTAAGAAGTTGTAATTTTTATTCCATTTGAACCAAATTTATAGCCTTTATACCCGCACAACTGTAAAATACACTTGTCAGAATGGTTCAAAAGAGAGCGCCCTTACTTTGTAAATTTTTAACCTTGATTGTAGTATGGCTTGTCTTGTATTTGCTCATGTTTTGGTCAAATACACGGAGACCTGATCCAATAAACAGATACTTAGTGAGACAGAACTGTAACACCAAACTGAAATTCGGTGAGATGTGCCCGACTCTTTACACTGACTTGGGAGGGAAGTGTGACCTCAATGGCACTGTCCTTGATTGTCCGGACATTCGACACAAGGCGAAAGCAAGAATGAGGCAAGCTCAGCTTGTGATGGTTAGAATGTTACGGATATTCCATCTGATTGCCACGAAACACAATATACGTTATTGGATAAGCGCGGGTACATTAATAGGCGCAGCAAGACACAAAGGATTTATCCCCTGGGATCACGACGTGGATGTAGAATTGACACTGACAGATTACATAAAGTTTGTTACAGTAGGAAGTAAAGATCTTCCCGAAGATATTTTCTTTCAGAATTCACAAACAGACAGTCACATCCGGGAGGCAGCTATCGCGGAAGCCCAACTGACACCCAAAAGGCATCCGAGTCACCCCAAAATAGGGTATTACAAATCCCCTTTCAATGGTCGTCTAAGAGACAAAGCTAGTTGCTATGGGTACTGCTTGCTGTACGGCTGCGATTGGCATGATGGGCTTCAAGTGGATATATTCGTTACTGAAAGTAAGGTCCAAGACGTATTTCCATTGAAGGAGATGGAATTTGAGGGGTTTGTATTTCCTGTTCCTAAAAACTGGACCGAGGATCTACAGGGATCCTACGGTGAAGATGTACTCAAAATACCTCGCCAAAGTTCGGATCGACAACCACAAATTCTGCCTCACCCGACGACAAACTGCCAGAGGCTCGCCGAAGAAAAAGTAGAATTCGATTAACAAGGAAAGCACACAAAATGTTCCAAAAGCACCCGTAAGAATCCGATTTGGGAACATCCTCATTGTCTTTTGTTCATGAACTATTGTTAATTTCAACAAACCTGCAGAAGAGACGTGAAACAGATTGATTCCACGCGCGGTAGAAAACGTTGAGGTGTAACGCAGCTCATAAAAATGTTCCCTTCTTTTCACTACCAAACTTGGTGAACCATTTACAAAAGAATCAAAAAAGTTGACTCGGGTAGAAGGGTGATTTGCACAACCTAGTCCCCAGGGTCCTTTAGTTTTCCAATATGGCGGCGGTAGGAAAACGAGAAAACCCTGGGGACGAGTTTGTGATTTGCCTCATTTATCATCCTAGTTGGGATAACTTTTCTTTATATAAACAATTTGGCTCGCCCCGCCGAGTCATCTCGGTCAAGGCGAGACACTCAAAGCATTCGCCAGCGCTGTTGTCAGCTCTTAGCTCGGGCAAAGAGGTCAAAGATTTTCGCATATAAACACTCGCTGAAGTTGACTCGGCTGGGAGAGCAACCCTGCTGTCATTCCCGGGACAACTTTTCTCGATATAAACGGGGCATAATTAACTTGTGTTGTTAGTCACTGAATTACCATATACTGTATTTAGCCATATGTAATTTCTAGATGCGCATGCTCTCATGTGGACGATACCAAGGGCGCTTTCCATTTGTCAGAACTGACCGGCCACACCATTCAGTAATAATGACTGTGCACTGACAGGAGAATAATACAGGGCAAGTGCAACAAATGACCACACAATTTGTTACGGTATTATAAACAATTAAAAGAAGTTACAAGGTTACAGAAGCAACAGGTAAAAGCGCACTGAAGTCCTTTTCTATTGCCCTACCCGTGTTTGGTGATCTATTTATCACTTCTTCTAACGACACTAGCAGGCCAACTGTTACCGAGTCTCTGAACTGAAAATTTAAGAGCGAAACAAGTTGTTACGAAGTAGCGTTTCTCAGCTCTTTAAAGAAGATGGTACTTCAAAATAGCCTTTGTTTATAAACCACCTTCTGTACACAATTTTTACTGCAGAAGTTGGAATTTTTCTCGGAAATGCCGGAAAAAAGGAAAGTACAGTTCCTATCCCGCACTGAGCGCACGTGGTGTTCGCAAACTCTAGGTCATGACTGCAAATCTGAACGATTATCTCTGTGACGACGAGCGGATTACTCACACAACTTTCTTTTTCCTTTGCGTCTCCAGAAAACAAAGGAATTTACCTTTCGCGATTTGTCGCGAGAGAATGAATTCATGTTGGTTTTACACTGTTATTGCTTGGAAGCCCGAGAGGCGAGGACAAAGTAATATACTCAGGTATCCACGCAATGGCTGTCCAGTTCCGACAGAAAATGTCTGCATTTTCCCAGTAGCACTTTAATGGCCTCGCAAACAAGCACATCTGAGGACAGAGCACCAGTAGATTCGACTGAAACTAGATAAAAAAAACGCAGCATCAACAAGTAACTTGCGCAGAACGCAGTCTGCTTAAAACGCCTACACCTCTGACTTCGACCGTTTCAATGTAGATCTCTTGTTTAAAATTTCCCATAACAACAGACATTGCGACAAAGAATGTTAATACATAATTAAACAACATTGCAGTTTCTTAACTTGAGCAGTTCAAAAGTCATTCAGAACTCAGCGAGATTCAAACTCCCACCTTTGCGATGACCGGACGTGACACTCTCACTCTTTGAAATGTTATCATGACAACTGGAGAGCACGTCAATTGACCTTGTTGCATTCAACAGAGCAAATGCACCAACTCGAGGCTTAAGGTAACAAGTCTACCCAAGCCTCGATCTCGTGTGAGGTCACTGGCAGGGAGGGGGGAGTGCAGGGACGTTCCTTTTGAGTTGGTTATAGAACATTGAAATGAACTTACAAATAAAATGGTCTCTTATCCTTGAAAGTTTAACTCGATCCTTCAATTCCTGGAATAAGAAATCAGCTTTATCATTCGTTTTATAACTCGCGGATATAAACCTTTGAATTAAGAACAAGAGAACGAACAATAACTGATATAATATACATGTATTAGCAAATATCGGCAAAATGCAGTGCAACAGGATTAGTTTCCCACCTACCCTCCCCTAAGCCAAGATTAACACTTACTTCTCACTTAAGACAAAATGTTGGCTTAGGGGAGGGGTAGGTGGGCAGTTTCCCAAAAACATCCAGTGTACTGAATGATCCAGTTAGGCCCGGGTCCACACGTATCCGTTTTTGTTTGAAAACGTAGACTTTTTCTCCGATTTCAAAACATAGCGTCCACGTGTTGCGTTTTTGAATCGTTTTTTCCCGTCCGCACGAAAACGCAATAGTGACTTAAACGACCTGAAACTGTTAGATATTTTATTGACGCATGCGCATTTACTGGTATCTGAGCCAATTTACCAGCACCTGAACCTCTAATTACCAAGACTTAATAAGAGGAACAGCTGGGAGAAGGGCATTAGTAAAACTACAAATAAGTAATCACAAATTAATGATAGAAATAGGTAGATACAATTAAAATACTAAAGATTACAGGCAACGCCCTCTTTGAGGATCCAATTTAATTGAAGTTCTATTTTGTTGTTCTACATACTCTATAATTAGGAATAATTTTTACAATAAAGTCAAGGCTCTGATTCCAAATATTACTCAGTTACCTGTAAATGTTTTGATCAATGAACTGGTGGACTTCTCTGATTACTTCATAATATATAATTCATTAGATATATTTCAGCATGCTTTGATCTTCGTGACAAATTATCACCAAATAGTAACTTAATTGTCGTTGATTTAATTTTAGTCCTTCAACAAAATAGAGCTTTTGCAATACTGTATTTACTTGTATGGTCATGCAAATAAAGCTCGTTGTTGTTGGTGAGCCCACGAAATGTTGGCGCCTAATCTCGTGCGCGAGATGGACTGGACCCCACAACGTGACGTAATCTTTTCCAAAACCTTCGTTTTCATCTATCCACACGAGTACATCGAAACGGGGTATTCAAAAATCTCCACTCTGGAGAGCGATTTTGAAACTGTACGTTTTCGGTGACTGTTTTGACTGGATACGTGTGGACGGTAGGCCATAATGGAGGAAAAAATCTCTTTTTTCAAACAAAAATGGATGCGTGTTGATCGCGCCTTGCTCGCTTACGTGAGGTATGAGAGAATGGAACATGTAAAAATGACAGCCCAAAAAAAGTGGTGGCAGTCGCTTGCAAAGAGTTGGTCGCATACGGAAAGTTCTGTCTGTGGTTCTTTGAGAGCAAATGTTTTGGTTTTTTGTTGATGTATTCGGCTACGGCAGCTGACAGGTTGAGAGAGGTGGTCACAAATGAAGATTCGGCTTTACTTTATGATTACTGATGAGTAACGTATCGCAGGTGGCATTACAGTGCGACCAAACGAACCGAGGCCACCCAGAAAAAAATTTTGAGACAAATTTTGAAATTAGGCAATCACACGTCGAGAACTGAACAATGAAATTGCGCATACTTGTACTCAGAGCCAGTTCAAAATAAGTTCAAAATTTTGGGCTAGGTTGTTCAAAGCAGGGTTAAGATAACCCAGGGTTAGTGCGAAATTTCAATTCAAATATGAAAAATTAAAAACATAATTCAGTTTTTTCTTTTTGTCTATCATTTGATGAAAAGATGCTCTCAAAAGAGTCTAGAAAATTATCCAGGAAAATGCTTTTGAGCAAAAGAAAAAGAAACCCGGGGTAAAATAACCCTGGGTTAGCGCCAATCGGCCTTCGAACAACTGGGCCTTTTTCAAGTGGCGGTGACGTATTTTCCTCATAAATTTAGGACTTCATTGCTAGGCCGAGAACTGAACCACTGTTGGTAAATATTCCTTGGGCACAAAAATAGCTTTTTGGCCATTTAAAAAAACGTACATCTGAAAGGAACTAACCTCGTGTCTAAAAACCTCCCTGCTGCAGGTATCTCTTCTTGGATTGTCGACAACTGCCCGCTTTACACCTGAAACGGAAACAAAAAATCACTTAGCACAGCTTACAGGGCCTCCTCTTACGAACAAGGTTGAATGAGATGGTTAACGACTAACGCAAGAAGAGTGATGTGCGTGCATTAAGGACCTGACTCCCCATTCGAAGAAGACAGATACCCGGCAACCACCTTAAAGAGGCAGAAAAACAACAATAGGGAGCTTAAGCAACAAAAACGGCGACGGCTACGAAAAAAAGTGAAGTCGCGCTGCTTTAAACTTTATCGTGCTTATTCCATTTCGTTCAATTCGTTAAATGTTGGCAATTTTTTTTCTGAAGTTGAATTCTAAAAGACTGTATCGAAGTTCAGGAAAAGAAAAGAAAGTCGTCGTCTTGCGTTCACGTCCTCCGCAAAACGTGAAATTAGGCATTTTCACGTCGTAGTCGTGCGGTGCAGGAAAGAAATGTACAAAAAAGCGTGATGCACGTGCAGAGTTGTTGTTTTGTCAATCTAAACCTATTACTTTTTTGCCGTTCTCGATGACGTCGCTGCCGTCGTTTTGCTTATTAAGCTCCCTGATGGTTCTAAGTCTTTGTCTAGCCCACGCCTACGCTAGAATAATGAAGGCACGTACACTGCGGCACCAAATTTAAGGTTGCGCCCGTGAGACTGGGTCGGTGTCGAAATTACACTATGGATTTTATGGGAGAACGAATTTTGACCCAGTTCAGTCCTGCGCAACCTGGTAATAGCCGAAAAAAAGGGAGTAAGCGAAACAAACCTCCCGTGGTGCAATTCGAGACAACGCCGTGCTAGTCTCCTGCTCGGCCATAAAATGGCCGACAGTTTGAACATGAGAAAAACATAGCTTTGATGTTCGGGTGTAAGCAAACCGAATGAAATAGTTTCTAATAGGTTTTTTCCCCACACAACACCTTCAAAAATCGAACTTCTCTCTTACTCGTCCTTAGCCTAAAAGACTAAAAGTTCAAACATTTTTTATGCGTTCCAGTTGTTCAAAAGTGGATCGCTCTTTCCGCCGGTAAAATATTCAGTGGATAAAAATTAGGAAAATAAACAGTGTTATCCACCGGATAGATATTTACAAGTGGATAGCGCTCTCCACCTTTGGGCCACAAACTTTTAGCAAGACCAGGGAAAGGTCAACGTAATTCAAATTGGGTACTTACCATTTACATTGGAAAAAATGGAAATTCCAGTTGGAAAATCAAATGTTTTATCATTTTGCCACATTTACATTAAATAAATACACAAAATTCAGATAGATGAGGCAAAAGCGCCCATGGAAGCCAAAAAGACTTTATGAAATGGCTTGCACCATTCCGTTTGGGAAGCTTCGGGAAATATGGGCTCTGATTTGAGGTGATGCAATTTTTCCACTCTTTTTAGTCTATTTAGCTGATTTGGATGCACTTTCCCACCACGTTTATGTACAAGAATGCCACCCGGAGAGTTTGTGTACATGGCAAGCAACCAAGATGAGTAATACGTAAATGATAAGTTCGTTTAAGTTAAGTCTTCGCTCAAGCTCAAGTATTCCGAAATAAGCACATTTCAACATACCGTGTTCATTTTCCACTTTTATTACACCCTCCGAGAAACAGCGGACCAACTTATCTGCCAAGTTATCTTCACAAGGCTTTGTAATTGTTATTTCTGGAAGAAGTCTGTAGGAGGCAGTGGCTGCCAACAGAACAGATCAAAATGTTTCATCTACGTTTAAAGAAACCCAGTTATTGTCATTTTGCGTAAGCATTTTAATAACCCGTACAACTTTACAGATTGAAGGCATTAAATTCATGTAACAAGCCATTTGCAGCGCCCAGTTGGAGACCTGTTTAATACAAAAAATTAAGGATACAACTTCAGATTGAAAATCCGACTTCACGTTTTAGTACAGGAACGCAATATCCGTTTGTGCAGTTTTCACAATCCGAATTTGGATTCGCAATTAAAGGAACGGACCCGTACATAGCATTTGACAGGGGACCCAACGAACGAATGTTTCCATGTCAGAATGGTCTCAAAAGGTAATTTCTACTCTCACGAGTCTAATCGAAAGATCGAGGCAATGGAGTGGCCTTAACTTTCATTAAAAAAATTCTAGGCGACGCTTTGTGTTTTCAAATAAATTTTTCAAGGAGATACGTTTTAGAAATAATGGCAATATCTTGCTAATAAGATCTGAAAAACACAACCTCCGAAAATGGTAGGTCTGATTTGACACATGTGTATCTTAACCTACCGACAGGAGAGAACTTTGCATGATCCTTCCCTAATCCTTTAACAGCATGCATTCTTAGGTCTAGTTCCTACAAAATAAAAACCAAAACACCTGGGTTTGTAGCAAATGCTCAGAACCAGATATAATCACGATAATGAAAATGAAACACAAATCTTGCATTTTCATGGCAGGAAGTTACACCAATTTTCTCCCAAAAATGACAATACATAATCAAGCGGAAAGGTTAGGAGAATTAAAATATTCCTTTACAAAGGAAAAATGCAAGGGGATCAGTCTGGAAAATTTGCCGTGTGTGAATATTAGGGCGTAAAGATTATAATTCCGGCAGATAGTCATGAAGGTAACCGGTCAAGTCGCCCGAAGGTCATCTCGCCCGAAGTTATATCGCCCGAAACCAGAGTCATGTCGCCCGAAATTTTCATAAAGAGTGTATGTAATACATCTCGTTCTTTAAGCGATAAGTATATGTAATCAAATGGTGACGAGTGAAATTAGGGAATAATTTCACGCGCGTATTGTCCAAATCCTGATAATTTCCCGAGCCTTTAGGCTCGCTCTTCATTCACGGCATTTTAAAACTTCGTCGCCATCTTGACACTGAGACGTACGGAAGGTTGCCATGGCAATTTTGTAATTTCACATGTGAAATTACAAATTAACGCTGAAATTTCGCGCCAAAATTAAGGAGTAATTCGTCACCTATGATATTATGAGAGAAAACAAGCGGGATTATTGTGTGATTAAGTCTCTTTATTTAAGCAATGATGCTATGGTGAGACGAAATAGACGAAACAAGTGGGGTGAATGTGTATCACAACCCGTTCTTTAAGCGATGAAGAAACGAAACAAGCGAGATGAATGTGTAACGAATCTCGTTCTTTTAGCCTTAATGAAACGAAACAAGCACGTCAAAGGAGTAATATATCTTGTTCTTACTTCAAAGATTTAATGAAACGGAAACAAGCGCGATTACGATGATAGGATGTTGCTGAGAGTGACAAAATTTCGGGCGACATAACTTTGGGCGAGATGACTCTCGGGCGACTTGACCGTAAACCGTCATGAAGTATTTGGGTCTCACTAGATTAACAACTCTCTATAACCCGCTCACATGTGAGGCTGGTTTAAGGTCAAGTCACCCAAAAGTTTTCTTGCCAAAGTATTTGTGGTCCAAAACCAGAGTTACGTCGCTCGAAATTATGCTTTGCAACATTTTAACATCCTACCACACATTCATTGCGCTTGTTTCTTTCCATCAAGGGTTAAAGAACGAGATGTATTCCTCACTTATCGCGCTTGCTTCGTCTCGTCATGGCCTGAAGAGCCTGATATGCAACACATTTATCGCGCTTGTTTTCAAAAGAACGAGTCATCTAGCACATCTATCGAGCTGATTTATCTCTCATCAAGGCTTTATGAACGAGACATACTACAAATTTACATGTGTATCATGCTTGTTAACACCTAGCAAAATTTCGGGCGACATAACTCAGGTCCGGGCGACTTGACTGGTTATGCGAGTAGCAGGATACTACTTGCATAAAATTAATATACATGTACACTGTTTTTTTACCTGTCCTGGCCTTAACTTTGCTATTAGTATATCATTCAGCACTGGTCTAATATCCTGGGGGCCATACTACGTAGCAAAAAAAAATTAGAAATCACATCAACTAGTATTCAGCAAAGACTGTTTAAACCTTCCATAAGCGGTCACCTCAAATGCCAACATTCCGAGTAGTGGCTTTGCTGAGGGTGTTCGCTAAAGAGAATCAAACCAAGGAGGTTCTCTTCTGAGAAGAGCTCCCTACACAACTACTTTTTACAAGAGAATAAATTCTATTGCATGCAATTTCTAAGTTAATCTTACAAGAGTAGTTTCACGCTGTCACAGAAAGTTTTTTTTGCATTATTAGTACACTCTGAGTGGCTTTGTACATACAGCACACAAAGAGAGATCATATCTTAAAAACACCTGCGTGGGAGGCTATTACTAGCGGTGGTAGTTTACGAGAGGCTCTAACTATGGGGCTTTCATTAGGGAAATTTTGGCATTTTGGATAGGTGGTTGATTAAGAGAGGTATTCACCCCTCAACCCCCAGCTTCGACTGTACTTGTTTTTATGGCTAAACACAACAATTTTATTATTGTTTTAAAAGAGTAACTAAAATTAAATTCTACTGCCTGTACTGTACATGCTGAATGTCTAGGCTATAGACATGAAGGGTTACTCATAAAGTTAAGAACAAAGACGGATTGACCCTTGCAAACATAATTCTACTGAGCCAAAGCTTTAAAGTCCTTAAAAACTGGAAAAGACTGAACTATACTATAAAAACCTTTGCTGACAATGACAAACCTTTTGAATAGCATTAAATGTTGTGGTTCAATTTCACCCTTGATTAAAGTTTTCCTTTGTGTTTGGGTAATTGGTCATGTATGATAAGGAGTTTAAAGCAAAGGAAAACAACATTTAAACCAAGGATAAAATTGGACCACAACAAACATGTAAAGTATAATTAAATACCAGGTGTCAGTCATATATGTACATGTATTTACGTGATTGCATCATTTAGATTGTCAGAATCATCTGTCAAACCAAAGTCCACAGACCCAAAACTGAACATTGCACATCCCTTTAGGGTTTTACACCATGAATAAGTATACATGTAAGTAAGTTTAGTTACCTTTCTGGCCTGATTTCCAACTGGTATCCATTTTAGCAGATCTGTCGTCACTGTAATTTAGAGAAAAATTATCCTTTCCACACTGTTCATGGTCAACCAACAAGTAATGGGAAAATAGTCTGGAGTGGGAGTGTTATTTTGCATTTATGCTAGTTGATTAAGAGGCTACCATTTTCTTTTATAGCCATGCATCTTCTCCTATTACACATGTGCAGAAATATACCTTTTTTACCCCTTAAATTTTGTTCAATCTTGTCCTTAGGTTCAATTTGTTTTCTTTGTTCTTGGACATGGCAATGAATGCAAATGACTTTGAACCCCTGAAAAATAAACTTTAAACATAAAATTAAACCATAAGGTGACATAAGCACAGAATTACCTTTTGAATGAATGTACAATTCATCAGGATCCGTAGCATTCTTTGGTGCGTTCTTGTTTTTAATGCATTTAACTTTTAGATTAAACTGTAAAGTTGTGTTCTCCTTTGCCTCCTCATCTCCTGTATCAGATCATAACATTTTGGTACAAAATTTATGCACATGAGCCAATAATGTTTCAAATTAATTTGTCATACAAGACATACAGGGTGTGTTCCTTTCGGCGAATCCAAAAACGGATTTTTGATCCTAGATTTGCCAGATTTCTCGGTCAAAAGGAACGTGAAATCCGAAATTGGATTTGTAACCTTGGTAACCTTTTGCCAACGCGTGCAATATGCACGACAGCCTCTCAAAAAATGACGTGTTTTCTACTGTTTGACAAATTATGCGATTATACCGTGCAGAATTTAGTGGTCGGCAGTTCGAATAGCGACGATGGAACATATAAAACAGACAAAGAAAGAAGCATTAAAATTGAAAATTATCTAAAGAATGTCGGCCAGTTTGATCCAGTTCCATAGCTCGGATTTTTTTATGTAGCACGATCGAATGCCTGTCGCGTCTACAAGCGAGTTTGTAGTTAGATAGCAGTTCATTTGTTACTTTTACTTATTTCTGATTTCAAGCAATCTTTAGAGACAAATGGTTAGTATATGGATATTTTAATGTACCAGGAACAATCTTCTATTGTTTTCAGATGTTTTGCGGCAAATGAAAGCAACGAGGAAACTCTACGGCCTCTATGGGAATACTTCAGCTGAAAATACCGCTGGATCATCTGACTAATTTCGGATCCACTGTGAATGGAACAGCGTAGATCACTAATCCGTTAATCTGGATTTGGATTCTTCGGATTTCAAATCCAGTGAATCCTTTTTCAAAAAGGATTCACCAGATCAAAAATCCGGATTTGGATTTGCCGAAAGGAACGCGAAATCCGTTTTTAGATCTAAAATCCGTTTTTGGATTCACCGAAAGGAACACACCCACAGTGTATTGTATATACTGTTATTGTAACTTTGTTTGGTGAGGAGCGAGAAAAGGGATGAATGGCTGGCCTAACCAGGCCTCGGTTGTTCTAATGTTGGATAGTGCTTTCGACTGAATAAATCGCCATCCAGCGGATAAGTATTATGGCAACAAATTGTGGCCTCTGATATTTCGCGCGGTCGCGGACCCGCGAAATTCAGGCATTCCCGCGAAATCCCGCGAAATTCCCCAAAAAACGCGACATACCGCGAAATCCGCAAGAAATATTTCCAAATACATGTCGGCAAAACATATTTAATACTTATCTTGGTTATTAGACCTTTTCTATTCACCCCAAATGTCCAAATTTATCTTGAAACTTCGTCACTGCAATGAGTAAACAACGTCCTAAAACTACCAGGCGTTCTTAGATGAACGTTGCGAAAAACTGGGTACTAACCATAATGTTAACAACTTTAGCATTCGCTCATTTCTCGTGCGAACTGTTGTTGAGAGAGCAAATGATTATCCCTGTTAAAAAAACGTTAAACAACGCTGGTCATATCGACGCAAAATTGATCGTTTTTAGCGAAATTTGCCAAAAAAAACCCAGCGAAATCGGCTGTCTTTTACTGATTGTTTCTTGGCGAAGTTTCCCCGTGAAATCGGCCGATTTTTCTATGAATTTGCCCCTGAAAATCCTTCGAAATTTGACTTTTTTCCGCTAAAATGCGGCGAAATCGGTCGATTTTCCTGCGAATTTTGACTTTTCTCCCGCGAAATCGGTGGATTTTTCCGCGAATTTTGACTTTTTCCCGCGAAAATCCGACGAAATCGGCCAATTTTTCCGCAAATTTTGACTTTTTTCCCGCGAAAATTCCGCGAAATCGGCCGATTTTTCCGCGACTTTGCCCCTGAAAATCCCGCGAAATTTTGCGTTTTTTTCCGCGAAATATCAGAAGCCCTGACTATATAGATATTGAAAATCTTATCCAGTGGATATCACTATCCACCGTTTGAACAACTGCGGCCAGAAATTTAGGGCATATAATAATATTTTAAATTATACAGAAAGTTGCAAATACACTCTGCCCAATGGTGCCGAAATCAATGTCTACTGAAATTCATTCCAGCTGTAATTTTGTAAATGACTCCAATAGGGTCAACAAAAAACAGTAATTAATGTAGTTATACTCTCAACCCTTCATTAATTTGAAGCAGTTGAAGCAATTAGCCCTGTCCAATAAAGATTATAAAGTCTATTCCATGCTCAAAGATAGTTTGCCATTATTGTGCAGCTGCGATAACGAGTGCTTCACCTTGCTTTCTCAACAACCCTATTATTTGAGAGCCTGCCACAGGCTGAGTAAAGATCCAAACCAGTAATTAAATTCATAAGGCTATAATTACAATAATTTGGAGCATATATACCTTCTGATCTGAAATCAAATTCTCTTGGATCTGCACAAATTGGGATCAACCCAAGTCGATGGGCCAACACCTATAAAAAGAAAGTGAGGTTAAATTTCCTGTAGTAAAATCATGAAAGTTACAAATCAAAAGTTATCCTGACTGTGCGGTGAAAGCACTCTTGCCTGTATTCAGTTAAGTAATGAATACAGTACATTGTATGGATAAAACAAACATATACTTTAATTTGGCTTTAGACCACCAAGGTTTAGGATTTGTTGCAGGGCAGGGATGTTACTAACAGCTGGATGTCGCCTGATTTCAATGGCTGTAAAAGAGCTTACCACTAGCTCAAATTGTTCTGAAAAACAAAGACATGGAGTAATTTGAAGGTGCAGTTGATTCAAAAAGCCAGCTGGACTAATAACATTTTAAGACTACTTAATTTTTCCTCAGCTACATCCCTGGCAAAGATGGTGGAAGTAGTAAAAAGCATCTATAGAGCGTTTTCACTCATGTGGCCAGCATCAGTCCAAATTTATGGGAACAAATTAAAGAAAAATCATGTTTACATAAGAAAAGAGTTCAACTCCCACAGGATTGGTTTGGAACACCAACATGACCACCATTTCATTGTTTTAGAACACTATTATGGCTGCCATAATGTCATGTGAAAATGCTCTGCAAAGATATTATTTTAATGATCAGCTAACCTCATCTTGTAGGATGGATGTATTGTTATAAATGAAGACTTTCTCAATTGCCATGGTTGGAACCTGAAAGAAATATCACCGATCACTATGATCACAACATCTAAAAGGCAATGAAATACATGTATGTATGAATATTGCAGTGGAAGTTCTCGTAAGTGAGCACCATTAGAAAATTATGCCAAAAAGGCGTTCATAACAGGAGCTGGCCACTTTAAGGAATGAAAAAATACAGAGTTTGTATGGTAGTTGAGTAAAATGGGGTTTTGTGATAGTGGCCATAAGTAGAGCTTCCATTGTATTTTAAGTTCTCAAATTTTGCTTGAACAGAGCAGTGAATCCTTGTTTGTGATTTTCTGTCCCTGGAATTAAGATAACTAACTTGCTTAGCTGACCCAAACCCATTCAACATAAAGTAGTGGGCAGTGGGTGGCATGGAAAAATTTTACTGATCAGGCATCCCCCATCTGTTCTCAAAAAGGAAAGAAAACCTGATTGCGGGGTTACAATAGCCCTTTTTTGCTGTCCAGATGTATTCTGATTATGACCTAAGTGATGATCCTTTCTGAACCAGACTTAGGAAAATCTGGATACTGAGAATAGTATCAATAGCAACACCGCAATACTACTCAACCAGAGTACAAAAATTAATGAGCAAAGAACCAGAAATGAGAGTCAAAGACCGCACAAAAAATGGCGCGGTAAGCGGGGAGGGGTCGGTCATTAGGTACCTTAAGTAACAGCATTTTTGAGTGACACACGTCAACCAGAAGTAAGGTGTTTTCCACTTCAAAATGCGTTGAAGTTACCAAATTTGAATTGTTAAGACGAAGTGTCTTAACTTTCATAGAGACAAACTGCCCAAAATTTAGGCAAATTAGCCACAATTCAATAATGCAAAAAGTCCACTTCCTTGCATCACTCAAAACCCCCTTTGCTTAAGCTCCCTATGGTCAGTTGCTTGCCTTTGTATTACTACACCATTACTGATCACAATAAAAAATGATCAAGTCATACCTCAGCTAGCAAAATCCTTCTCAGTGCATTTGCAATAGCAGCATCAACACCAACCATATCAAACTCCAATTCATTTTTGCCCAAGTGAATTATATCAATCCGAAATTTCTAAAAATTAGATAAAAGTATTAAACTTACTGATCATCATTTTTGCAACTTTATAATCTGGGTAGAAATAAATTGTCTTTGGTTTAAAGTTGCCTCAATGTCAATAATTTCCCCCGGAGGGTTTCGCCCAGAAAGACAAATCCAGAGGAAGCCTCCCAGTGTTTCGCACGTATATAAAGGAAAGTACTTACAGTTGAAATATTCAGTTAGCATACCAGAAAAAATTTCAATTTGCATGAACAGGAGCAGTGCAGAATCATTGATGATGATGTTTCACGCTGAACAATGCTGCACTCCCACAAGTAAGAAATGGTTAGAATAACGTAAAACAGAAAATTCCCCAAGGGACCACTTAGATTGACTTTGCGACAGCCATTGTAAAGTCATGGTTCAATACTCTTATGCAGGGACGGATCCAGGATTTTTTTTAGGTGGGAGTGCACTTGTCTCTTGCTCTACTTCAACACCAATAAACCACATAGTTTTTTTTTGCAGAATACTAGTTGTGTTAGAAAACCGCAGGTCATCTCAGGGGGGAGGGGGGTGCGCACCCCCTGCACCCTCCCCCTAGATCCGCCCCTGTTATGTGTTAGGCCCTGTGCAAACGGATGCAACATTGTTGGATGTTCGATTGTTGGATTGTTGTCAACCTCGTCCCCAGGGTCTTCTCACTTTCCAATATGGCGGCGGCAGGAGAGAAGACCCTGGCACACAGCAGAAATCACGTGACTGATTTGTCCACGGAGAGTGGAAATTTATTCAAAATGGCGGCCAAGATAAAGAGTGAGAGGATCTGGGTACGAGGTCTTGAGACTGGTGAAAAACAAACAAAATGGCGGCAAAGGCAGAACTCAAAAGAAGCTAAAAATATGAAAGAATACACTTACAAGCCACAGGAATACGGTAGAATGATATAGCGATCTTATTTTCTGTTCAATGACCTTCATTTGTTTGAAGCCTGAAAGTTCTAGCGCACACGGCTGTCTACAACTTAATTTCTCGGTACCGACCTTTTTTCACCGTTTTCTTTTTTTGCCGTACCCTGAGCGCCAGAGGTTCAGGTTTCTTCTTTCGTGAAAGGGGGAGCTTTTTCTAACCGTGAGCGCAATTTATGTCTTCATGTTAGGAATTTCGAGAACAGACCTCTGAAGCCAGGGAATTTTCTGTCATGACGCTCTAAGACCTCTTCCGCTCCGAAATTCAACTAAGCATTAAATTGAGTCGCAGACACTTTAAGCTGATAAGTGATCGTCAGTTTTTTTACAGATCTTCATGAGGTTTTTGACTTTTGTTTTTCTATCTGCACAAATTTTAACTGAACTCTGATATGTAAAAAAACAATTTTTTTTTTCTGAAAACAAGAACCAGAGAACACTATTTTGTTAATATAATTTGAGGAAACTTTGGTTGAAAATTAAACAGTTCCTTGGTCAGTTTGGATATTTTGTCACTTGAACTGGTACAGGTAATAAAATTATTGTCAATCTTCATCTACTTCGCAGTTTTTAGACTTTGTTATTGGCTTTTGATATTTAACCCTGTTCACAGTGCTTCCGGGCAATAGAGATAGGGGCCTTATTTAATCTAGCAAAGACGGTGGTATTAGTTCCCCCCAAAAAAAGGCCAAGAGAAAAAGCCCAAGTACAAGAAGGTTGGAGGTCAAGCAGCCGAGGATCAAAAACAAATCCGAACTTCCAGTTGGTGAATAAATCATCCTGGATCGGTCCACAGAAAGCTTTACAGTTTTCATTGATTTATACAGTCTCTTATTTATTAGTGAAGAATAAGAAAAGGGGGGAAGGTGGGATGGGGGTTAAAAAAGACGGGGGCTTATTGTTAAAACTTTCTTTCACTGAAAAGGAGGGCTTATTTGAGAGAGGGGGCCTTAATAGAGGATTTAAGATGTTGTTATTATAATTGTTTTTTTTTTGCCTCTCAGATGTAAAAAAAAGCATTAAACCCGCTTTAATAGCTAGCAAAAGGTGAAGAGTGTTTCCATTGTTTCTAATATAGCAATCCAAAATGTATTCTCCACTTTGAAATAGATTTGATTTTCAGAGCAAAAACTTTCTTAATCCCTGACTTTGGTTTATTTGACATATTACTTGGGGCTGCACTTTGCCATGTCAATTTGCAAATTGACTAAAGGCTAGACTCCAGTTGTTCAAAAATTTGATAGTCCTATCTGAGTCATGTGCGCAGTAAAAGTTCCTATCTCATTTGGAGATAATAGATGTTTTAAGTCAAACATGCTTTGCTCGTCAGATGGGCCCTTTCGTACTCTAATTGAGACATGACTTGGTAGTGGTGTGCTGATTATCGATCATAATTTATAAAGCATCAGAAACCTAAAGCAAAGTGAGTATTGCTTATACAAATGTTCAGTTGATTGTTGTGGAAAATTCACAAAAACATTGTTGACAAATAAGGACATTAATTCACCTGCGTTGTCTTTTTGATGGGGTCTTAATTTAGTTTATATGATGTTTAGTTGGTTTAACTATGTGAGAGATAAGCCTTCTTACAAAATTATTTTTGGTGTTGAAAGTGGCACACAGGGGGCACAAAACTATAATCTACTATAATCGATTATCAGTGTAATAGTTGGGTTAATCTGATTATTTCTGACGATATGATTATAATACAGACACTATTACTAAGACTAACCAACACCTTAAAGTAGACTTGGAAAGTATTTAAGCCAGCACATCTAACAGCTGCAACCTCACACCGCAACACCTAAACAAGCTAAAAGCCTTGCCTTGTCCCTGTGTGGCATTTTCCAAGGCCTTCAATTCATTTCGGTGACTTATCTTAGGCAAACTGGAGGGAAACTGTTTCACTATTTCGCTTGGGACCACGTGATCTAAAACTCATTGGCCATGACTAGGCAACTAAAACCTCACTATGCTTATGGGGACTCTGGCACAAAACACTTCAAAAGCCTTTGCATCCCGACATGAAAAATCCCATGATCTAGATGCTCCAGGTCCCTTCCGCTCTTGTTTATTCAGTGGATAGTGATATATGCACCCTTTGAAGTAGTTTATTTTTTTAAATCCAAGTTTTAGAACTGAATTATAGCTGCTTCACAATCATACCCAGCTGGTGTTGGAATACTACAGTACCAGCCACTTTTTCACCTGGTCCACAAACCCCCTTTTCAAGGATATAGTGACAAGAACAACATGCACACTTAGCCTACAGTAATATTAGAAGCTCAATTGACAGGTTTTAGTTTGACAGAAAACGTATTTATCTTGGGGTCACTGTCACCCCATGTCTGGAATCTGGGAAATATTTCTCTTGGAATCTGGAATAAAGGTCCTAAAGTACTCTGGATCCCACTTATAACTGGAATCCGGAATCCATGTTCCACTGACAGAGAATCCAGAATGCAGTATCCATGGCGCAAAATTGAGAATCCAAGACTGTCAGATTTCCTTGAATGGGCTGATCACTGTTTTCAACTTGATAAAATAAAAGACATCATGTGCTTTCATTTATTTTATTTTTGCAACTAGAAAGAAATCCCACAAGCTTCAATACATCAATATGTAAGTTTTTCATTTCTGAGAAAGGAAACAGTTTATTTTCCCAATGTCTCTGTATTTAGCTGTATTTTACTGCCAATGAAATGAGCAAATAATAATAAATTATCATTATTGTGACACTAAAAACTGAATAAATGAAAAGTCAGGATTAAAAATATCAAATGATAGCGACACTATGTTTGGCTTCAATTTTTAGTTTTGTTTCGACATCTGCCTCTCTCGCTCCTCGTCCCCTTCAAAATCACAGTGGAAAAATTAAAAGAAGGCCAGGTTAGGCCCATGAATATTACGATCAAATGAAAAGAATGTTTCACTTGACAAAAACTGCTGAGACAAAGCGCAGATTATGCAAGATTTCCGTATAACCCCATACATTAATAATATTATGCATACAGCTTTTGTTCAAAGAAAACAAAAGGCAGAACAATACTACACCTTTGCAACTGGCAGCTAAATTTATTGATAAGCTGAAGCCTTGCAAGTATTCTTTTCACAAGTCGGGAATTAAAGAAACAAATCTTTAGTAATTTTGAACACACAAACCAAATAGCACGAGTAACAGAAATACCTCTACGCGTTATAATATTCCCAGCGATTACCAGATATCACTATATTCGAATCTTTGCCTTCCAACGGTACAGTCACAGTTTTCCGAACAATCAGACCTGAATTCTGTCCACCTTTTTAGGTCTCAAACACTGAAGAAAGCACTTCTCAGCCTCTACGAAGCCCTCAAAGGTTAACCATCTTTGTTTTGGAAGGAATAAACCAATGAGAGCGCACGTATGAACGCGCTATGGAATGCACCAATCAGCGATCGTTTTAGTTCGCTGTGTGCCAGGGTCTTCTCTCCTGCCGCCGCCATATTGGAAAGTGAGAAGACCCTGGGGACGAGGTTGGGATTGTTGTGTCCATTTAGAGACCCTGTTGCATGTTGTTGTGTGTTGTCAGGAGTTGCTGTACAAAGTTTGAACATAATAAAGCAAAACTGAAATTTTCATTTCTTTTTCTCCTTTTTCTTTATTAAACAAGCATGAAAAACTCACAGACCACGAAAGACAGAAAATCTTGTGTTTGACCAAAAGAAATAACCGAAAGTCGATAGGCCAGACGTAAGTTATATGTGGTGTATAACTGTGTATAAGCACTTAAAGGATTTGCATGCTACCCGATGTAATATCTGACAAGCCATATGGCCTTCGAGCATGCAGGCTCACTTTTGAGGGTTCGGAGAAAATTTTGTCGACGGAAGCCTGCACGCGCGCTTCCCCGAACTTGAGCCTCCTCGCAGGCTACTAGCCATAAATCCTCAACTCATCTTTCCCTCTCAATAGAGACCTTCTTATTGAAAAGCAAGTGAGCAACCCTTGATGTCTGAATTAAACGTTAGGACAAGAGGACAAGACAAGTTATACCCACCTCTTCGAACTTTTCCTGGCTCCACGTGTCATCATAACCGCTATAATTCCCTGGGAAATCAGTGCTGTGAGTCTGAAGAAATAGATTACAACAGTGTAAGTGCCAAGCTCCTTACTTTCTATCAATAAGAACTGATAAAAGGTAATCAACTCACGTTAATCACGCCGTGTTCTTGCAGAGTAACTCTTGTTCGTATGTCCTCCACAGACGCCATCTTGGAATTAGTTGGGCCCAGCTCCTTTCTGCCCGAGAAAGTTATGGCTGGGTGGGTCTGGACACGAGGAACTGAGAAGTTTTCAGCGCAGCGGCGCAACAAAAGTTTCCAAACGCAGGCGAAGTAGGCAAGACTCCTCTAGCCTGCAGAACAGGCGTTATTTTTTCGCCTTTTTTAGTCCTACAACACGGACTGCTGCTGCCATTCTCTTTCTCTCCTTTTGCCCACTCCTTTTTCCGCTTCTCTTTTCCCCCTTTTCCCCCAGAAACGCCTGATACTCAGGCTAACTCCTAAGTGCTTTATCTCCATGTAAATTCCTTAAAATCGATGATCGATTTCAATGTTTTCTTCCACCTTTCACGTACATGCCGTTTGATAGTCGCCCCAGTCCTAGTTCAAAAATCCCAAGGAATGCAGGTGGTGCACACTTTCTGGAGCTCTACTGCAAAAAAAGCGCGGTGACCCTCATTTTTTATTTAATGATTTTAATAAAGACAATACATCCTTTCAATGAGAAAAAAAAAATGACAAAAGCCATGTCTAGTATTTTGGAAATTCCATTACCAGCTGAGAAGGAAGTTGTGTCACACACTGTTAGGGCATGGAGGACAGGGAGACCAAGGGCCTTTGCAAAGAGCTGTACCATAGGACACCCAAAATTCCTTCAAGTCTAAATAAGCCTGTTGCAGGATCCAAGATATTGAGGAAAACGGAGCGAGAAAAAAAAGCGTGAAAGTTCGAATCATGACTGACTTGTGACCATTTTCTCCTGCATCAGGTAAATGGACTATCATTTTAAGTCCGCTTAGACTCCGTTCGAACAGAAACATACTTGGATTTCTGAAGTCATTTTTCTTTTCATCATGCGATCCAGTACAATCCTGTTGAACGCATCGTGACAATCTATGCCACACTGTAGCAAACGACTTGCTAATGTAGAAGCATTTCCAGGCAATTGCTAAATTTACTTTCCCTGCCTCATAATTCAACTTCAAGTCTCGTTCAAAAGTATAAAGGTATCCAGCACCAGAGTTGTATCGTTTCCAGTTAACGGGACAATGAGGTTTTTCAGTTGTTTCCTTCTGACAAATAACACATTTTAACATTTTAACCAGTCAATAGCTTGCTTCTGCCAATTAATCCATTCCTTACTTCCTCGTCATAAACCGGTGGGTTTCTCTTTTATATGACTAGAAAAGTTTCTTTTTTTAGCTGCACAAAGTCGCATGCACATTTAGAATGAAATAGCACAAACTCTAACCATCCGAACCAAGAGACAAAAAGAGAAAAAACATGTACAGATAAATTTGAAACTATGGCCTGTATTTATATGATGAAGAGAAGAAAATAACAATTCGCATCCACACTTAAATATTTGTATTGTTGTACCTGTATTTGGAAATAAAACGTGCATTAACTCTAAAAAAAAGAGCAAGAAAATATACTTCACGGGGGGTCTTGGGCCTCAAAATTTCATTTGCTGCTAACTAGCTGGAACTAGAAAATTTAACTAGGCACTATATCGGGAATTGACCGGCCTATGAACGTAAATATTCCTGCAAAGTTTGGTGCTTGTATCAAAAATCGCATAATTCTGAGGCTACAAGTCGCCGGACTAAGATGCTAAGAACGAAAAAGAATTTCTACACGCGAAAGCCACGCGAATGTGACGTGCCCGCGCGTGTTGCCCTCCTTTTCTCTTTTCTAACATCTGCTTATTGGTAGTGTGTGAAATTCTCAAGTCTCGTAACAAAACTACCCCCAAATACACAGCTTTACAGGAATTTATCATCAGATAGCTTTACGCTGAGCAAAGAGTTCAACTAAAATAAAAAAAAAATCCTTCTTATTCCGCCTCATTTTTTTTTCAACTGAAGCTAATCTCCCTTCTTCAAGAACCACCAACTTGTACTAGAGTGTTACAGTCAATCTAGGGGTGCGTTTCTTCGGAGAAATCCAAATTTCCATTCTTGAATCCAATGCGGATTTTGTGTTTCTTTACTAAAATCAGATAACCACTTTTACGTGTAAAAGTGGATTCACGTGCCGGATCAACTAAAAGCCGGAATTATAGGATTCATAAGTCGTGAGTTTCAGCGTGTAGGGATGCAAAAAATAGGAAACCTAGTAAGTGGATTTACTAAAAAGAAATATGAAACCAGCGACGCTTCTCACCGGGTCGCGTCAATGTTACTGTAACGCTAGAGCCTATTTTCCATATAAACATCCGGTTCGACCGGGTCGTCCCAATTGGTAGGGAGCTTCACAAAACGACGACGGCAACAGCATTGAGAACGACGAAGAAAAAAGCCAAACAATGATTCTGTACGTGCAGCACACTTTTTTGTAAAGTTTCTTTGCCGTCACTGGAAGACTACGGCGTCCCTGTATATGCGACATTTTACAGAGGACGTGTACGCACGACAACGAATTTGTCTTTCTCCTTCTAAACTTGGTTTCGGACCTTGAAAATCAAAACTAAAGAAATTCACCTTATGCATTTGACATCATAAGGATATCCCAGCGCTCATCATTTTTTTTGACAATTGAGTGTAAAAAAAATTAATGTCGGACCCACTAAATTTTTACAGGCGACTGCGCGCTTAAAATAAATACGGAAACCCAGTAAATTGCGCCAATCGCCCCCGAGGTTTTGGAAAACTCCCATAGTCTAAACGATTCAGACGGTTATATCAACACCAGGCTTTAAGAAACCATTTTCGTTCTCTGTTGTTGTTGTTTGTTTATTTTGTCGTAACATTTTCAATTCACCAAAGAAATACACCCCTAGCTTTTAACATTATTAATTTAAAAGTATATTTTCAATGAAAATTGATAAAATAACTAAAGTTAAAAAAAGTCAAATTCACCAAGCCTCAAAGAGTACAACGAATTTCCACGGTAATACAATAAACTCATTTTCCCATAACATAGACTCCAAAAAACACTTAAAGCATAAAAACTAACTCGACTTGAACGGTCGATTACAGAATTTAGGCTAATTTTATCCAGATTATACTACTACATGAGAAATTACTGCAATATGATTGGCTTAGAGCAGTGGTATTTCAGCTTAATTTGAAATACCTACATGTGAATATTACAAACCTTTTGCGGGTAGTAGTATAAACAAATAATAGCATGATTTGTACGTGATATTTGGCATAAATACCACTCGTGATATTTCAAAATTGTCTCAAATTTCAATTACGTATAACAATTTCGAAATATCACTCGTGATATTTATGCCAAATATCACTACAAATCATGCTATTACCTATACTAATTTTATCTCCCATATTTTGCATTTAATTGTATACTGCAATTACACTATCTTAACCGGTAAATTAAAGTTTATGTGATATTTTTTCTAAATATTCTCTTTAAACGCCGTCAAACGCAACTTAACACAATTTGTTAAACCCTCAAATAAATTCCCAGTCTTCCTCGCCAGAAAACAACGCGCTATAAGTCCGCGGTTTGAACGGAGACTGGGTCCCATAAAAATGCTGTGTTTTACGCTGAAACAACTTTCCATTTTGATCGATGGCCCAGAGCTCATCGTCTGGAGTGACGGAAATCAGTTCAAAGTTACCCGGCACTTTCTTCCAGTAGTGTCCTAGACAATTGTCCTCACTGACCCCGTACCTACACACGATATCTCCATTGGGACAAGTGGCCCACACCATGTACTGGCTGATAGCTAAGTCGCGCACTCCCGTCCCAGGTACTACTTCCCAGGAGGTGCCTATAGGGTAGCTTGGTGTTACATTGTGCCGTGCGTACACGTTGTTTCGATCGTCCACAGCCCAGACAACGCGATCCGCTGGGCTTACTTCTACCTTAGCAAAGCGGCATCCCGGCAGAGGATTTCCGTCTACCGGAATCCAAGCCTGGGTCACAGATGGGTCGCTAGAGTCTTCCTTTCCGATGCGTAGCCAAACACTCCCCATGTCGTCCACAGCCCATGTGCTGAGCGAGCCACAGCTCAGGTGGAAAACCTTACCGACGCCAAACTGCTGCAGCCCCAGTTCTACCCAGCCGAAGCCTTGAGGGCAAGTCTCTGAAATCCCCGTCCGTTGTACCACCTTGAAATTATGCGTGATTCCCCACAAGTTGTTACAAGACGCTGAAATCAGTTTTAAAACCTTTCCTTGCGGAGGCTCAACAATCAGCGGTCTCGCTCCGGGCTGGAAACACATTAGTTCCCCATTAGGCTGTAACGCCCACACGTGACCTGCATCTCCTCTGTATGAGCCCGCGGACAGGTATGTCCAGAAAACTGATTGGGCGATACCTTGGGGTGTTACTGCATCCCATCGCGTTCCCAGCAGGTGGCCACGAGAAGACTGGATCGAGTTCCCACTCCCTAGCAACCAGACTCCCGCTTTGGGGCTTGCGGTTAAGAGTTTCACGTCGTCTCCTCGTAAGACCCAAGACCAAAGAACTTCCAGTAAACTGCGATTTTGCATCAAGTACTGTCCTAGAGAAACTTGGTACCATAAATTCCCGGTGGGATTTTCATGAGTAACGTTAGTGAACCAAAGTGAGCCTTTCATGTCCACAATCCAAGCTACACCCTCAATTCCAAGACATATGCACTTGGCTGTAATGCCTAAGACATATACAAAAATGTCAGTGTGTAGTGAAAGTCACTTTCCTAGATTGTACAGCATGGGATTCCCACCAAACCTTAGCTAACTTTTTGCGACTTTGATGATTGTCTGCGAGTACTCTCACCACTGCGCCACCCTTGCTTCCCTAATGCGAAATTGTTAATAAACAAGACCCCCATAATGGGGGTTCATTGGTCTGCCGACTGCGCGCTTTTAACCCGGAGCTGTATAGTAACTTCTACCGTTATGAAGAAAAATAGGCAAGTTGGCCTTTTGAAACAAGAAACTATTGGCATTATTTTTAACTGGGACTTCTGCAACGCACCCCTTAACTCAATCCCTCTGCCCCCCAGATTATAGCGTGACAGTATAACGTGACTAATTTGATATAACCAGAAATTCCAAAAAATATTGTCCTTCTACGCTTAATTTTTGTTTCAAATAATGTTATATAACAGTAATTTTCTTTTTCTCTTTCAAACTCTCAAAGTAAATTAAACTTTCAGTTTTATTTCAGTCGGATATTGCATTCATCGAATACTGATATTTAGATAATCATTCGGCGTAGATATGGGGCCAACAACTCCACGCAATAATTTTGTGTTCGTTCCAAATCGACTTCCGAGTCAGTTCACCAGACGACCTGAAATGACCGGTCCCCTCCCCACAAAAATCGGCCCCATTAAGGGGGGAATGGGACACGCAAAGCCTTCTGGGAGTTCCGTCCGCCATTTTGTCTTCTTGGACACAGATGGAAGATATTTCTTGATTGGGCGTTGCCCTCACGGGCAGCCCAACAAAAAGGCCATGAATGAATGGCAATACAAACAGTTTGCAAATGGAGAACTGAGATAATATAGCTGCATCTCAATACAATCTAAAAGCAAACATACTACACTTCTTATTTAAACACACCTGGCAGCATTTCCCAGTTGGTTTTCTCGGCTGGTCTTACCATGTCAACGCCTACAAGTTGAGAAAAGCAATGTCAGGGATAAGCACTCGTCATTTCGCCCTATAGCTCCCCTCCCTATCTCTTCTCTTGCTGAACACAACGGGAACGGTCTATGATAGTAGCAGAGTACATACAATCTGGTGGGTAGCCTGTTCCAGGTTCCAAGATAGTGGGCAAAGGTATGCCGAGAACGGACCGCTGGAGCCAGGGTAGGATTTTCCCAACAAACGAAAACCAGCGGTTTTACAACTCTCACAAGTGTAATTTACAAGTAAAGCAATTGTTTTCAGACTCTAAAACAATGGATACACTTGTAAATTACACTTGTAAAAGTTTTATGACATTTACCTCAAGCTTAAGGGTTGAACAAGGCATCAAGATCGAGAAGCACATTCTAAGATTTCTTATGTTTTCTAATTTCGCTATTTCAGTCTTAGACATGAAATAATTACGTATGACAAAACACAACACCTTTATAAACGTGGATGCAGTTTGCCTGGTCCACGAACCACGCAAAGCCGTTAAAACAGGACGCCTGTACAAATTTACTGTCTGTTAGAATGGTTCGCCATCCTTTGCCTGTGGGGTGTTCCTTGGACACGTCTGTTCTCATGAAAACGTCACCGTTAAGCTAAAAACAAGGCAATGAGATGTATGTTTGCTGAGCATCAAGCTATGGAACATTTCAGGTCTCTTCTTAACTTTGCACTTACTTTAAAAAAAAATTCAAAAGTGTTTGGAAATGCAGTTACCTGCACACTGTACCTCCCTCTTAACGGACAATTGCATAAGACGGGCACCTCCCTAAAGCGGACACCTGGATTTGGCCCCTAAAGGGCGACAACTCTCTAAAACAGACACCGACATTTGGTCTCTAAAAGGTGGACAATTCCCTTAAACCGACACCTAGATTTGGTCCCTATAGGACGGACGCCAACCTAAAACGGACATTAATATTTGGTCCCTAAAAGGTGGACACCTTCCTAAAGCGAAAACTTCTAGATTTGGCCCCTAAAACACGACACCTCCCTAAAACGGACATCTAGTGCTGGTTCCAAAACACCCAACGGATCAGTCTTTAAGTGATGTTGCACGATTTTTAGGGCAGCAATATTAGAACAATGTTGTAAGAATTTGAAACAATAATGTAACTCTCTGTAGTGATGAGTCCCGCATAATATCACCTTTCGAGTGAGCCGGCTGACTGTATACGGACGTTTCGTAAGTCTCCGTACAAACTTCGAAGCAGATTAGTTACCCTTCGGGGCCGTTTTCATTGACAATATAATGGGAATACTCTTAAAGTACTGACCTTTCAAACGTAAAAACAATTAAAAGACAGAAGTTACAAAACCAGACATTGTCAACTTTCTAAGCCTGGCTTATAAAGATCTTACTCGGTTCCGCAATTCGCCACTTTAGCAAAGAGAAGGGGACTGGAACCGACATGTGCCCCGCAATTGTCTCTGGGATCGTCACTGGGGACGCACCAATCAGCTATTGGCCAATTTTTTACCCCGTCCCCAGTAACAGTCCCAGAAGTCTTTGCGAACGTTAGCTTGGCCCGGTTTGCTTCTCGTTTCTATTAGCGAATTGACAACCACGTGATTGTGACTCACCTTTATTCCCCAGACTGCAGACTGATCTACCACCACGTAACGCATGTCTTTTTCCACTGGCTGCCATTTCTTTCCTGTTAAATGATTAGCGTTAATGTCCTTACGAACAAGCGCGTAATTCTTGCGATCAATGCACCAAATGACGTCACCGGCATTATTGACAGCTATCATTTTCGCTGAGCCCCTCAGTTGGGTCCACGTCACGACAGAGAAATGAGTGGGACAGTAATAGATATCATCGTAGGTGGTCACGCACCAAATATGGACATCGGAAACGGCCACAAATTGTACGTACCCTGGCCCCGGTGGGGAGTAATCCGCCCAGCTGTCCGCTAGTAAACGTAGGTTGAGACTAGTAGAGCCTGGAGAGCGAGAAAGAGAGGAACCAGATCCTGTAGATGAAAAGGACCCTTCCAGGGGAGGGACGTCCTCGTGGTTCACAATTTCAAGATCGCTCATAGCCCTTAAGCTTCGTGCAGGGGAGCGTGGCCATGAGGCAGTGTCGCCGAGTTCCTCTGCACCCTCCGAGTCAAGAGACACAGGGGGAGTAACTTCAGAGTCACTCAGAATGTCACTGCTTGCTCGCCGGGGTATAGAAGACAGGATTGATACACTCGCGCTCACCTGCCGACTTTTAGAGCGAGAGGACTTTTCTACTGACGCATCAAATGTTGCGTCAGAAATATTCACTGGAGTGTTGGAGTAAATATTTGGTAAATAATCGGCGTTAGAGGATTCGTCCAGGGTTGAATTGACAGCTTCGGCGCCAATATCATCTTCTATTAGGGTGCTTGTGGACAAAGAAACTGAATCCATACATAAACTGTTTTCTCGTGACAACGTGCTACCTGAGACAGAGCCAGAACTTGGAGATTTACTCACACCATCAGTCCGTTCTAACGGCACCACTTTACCCGCTTCTTCTGTCACGCAATTGTCTTGAGTTGTCACGTCGTCCACTACGCTATAAGAAGCTGAGTGAGAGACGCAAGATGTACAACTGACATCAGTGACGTCATGTTTTTCTTGCGAGCCTTGTTGTGTAACGTGGACTACCGTTAACTGAGGCTGCGTAGAGGCTAGCTTGTCCTCTCCTTCTGATTCTTGGTTTTGCCCATAGGATGTCTCACTACTCCTGTCACCTGAGTCGAAGTCCGACGAGATGTTGGACAACCTATTCAGTGTAGGGTCGAGACCGTCAGGGCAGTCGGACGGGTCATCTCCGTCCTTACGGTCGGGGGGTTGGGTAATGTCAGCTGTGGTTGGCTGATCTCTAATCCCGTCTTTGGTATCGGAGACTGTTTTGGATGAAGAATCTGAGAATGAAACATATCCGCTTTACAATTTACTGCTTCCACTGCTTGTACTGCTCTAAACTGTTAGTAGAAATATAACTGGGGACATCAGCCGTTCCTTCCCCGGCGACCCACCCGGGGTCAGCCGAACACGTGCCGTAAGCAGGGCTTGAAATAACGGCCGGCCAGTTGACAATGTCCGGTCAAAAATAGGCTTTGTCCGGTCAAATTGTTGGATGACCGGACATTTGGTCCCGTTGCTTACTCTTCTAATGGAAATGTTATTCAGAAACTTCAGATTTTAAAACAATAGAGATATCACGTAATAGACCTTTTTCCGGCCAAAAATGGGTTTGACCGAACAAACTTGACCGCCTCCATCCAGGAAATTATTTCAAATCCTGACTGTAAGTCTACTCTGATAAATCATTAGCAACGTAGTATTTAGTGCATTGCACAACGGAAGCTCGAATAGCTCAAGAATACTTATATACCACACTAATAATGGCACGGCTTTCGCATATTCAAAGCTTAAAACTTTATTCAAACAACTTTCACGCCTTCAATGAGGTATGCTCTTCCCTCGTTGCTAGTTCCTGAATTGGTACTTTTAAAGAGGGTGAAGGACATTTTTGACATCAGTTATCTAAGGTCTTCCTAAAGTTCTCTATCGCTAATGGTACGGAAAAACGGGCAACAAGAAACATGCAACCTGTCTTGCAACATTGCTGCAAAACGAGTTGAACCATGATGTTGCGCGTTTTACCACCTACATAAAACCTGTCTTGCACGAAATCAGGTTGTTAACAGGTTTGAACACGAGTTGTAAAACGCGCAACATCGCTATTCGAATTCAAATTTTTGCAGCAATGTTACAAGACAAATTGCACGTTTTTTGTTGCCCGTTTTTCCGTACCTTAAGTGAGAGAAGAAAACCTCTTTGAGTTGAGCTGTAAGAGTCCGCTATTATTGTGAAACGTAACAATAGCTTTATTGTACTAAAAACATACCTTTGTTAGATTTCTTTTTGTTTCGCTTTTGTTTTCTGAACACGATCTCTCCAAAGTCTTGATGTCTTATATCTTGGTATCTTTTAAAAGGATCCACATGATCGACTGCCAGTGAACTGCTTTTTTCGGATGGATCAGAAGTCCCTACTGAAACAGGTTCAGAGATCTTGTCCTGAAACACGCAAGTCGCGTAATACAGCATATCAGCTTGGACATTAAAGAAACAGTTGTAGCAGAGTAGAGCTGCAAATGATTTATAATACAAATACAATGCAGTAGATTTGACTAGGTTTCCCAAGAGGATGTTCCTGAGTTACAACGTTTTAACAATACTAACATTACAATAAAGGTGCAGCTACAGACAACTACAGTGTACCTCAATCCCAACAAACTCGCCAAAAAATTATTTAATCTGAACATAATAATTTCGAGCATTTTGGGTTTTAAAAGTGACACGCAGTCTTGACTTTTACGTTTCGCTTACTCTCCTGCCCTAGCGCTTGCCACTTTTTGTTTTTTTCTTGTTCTTCTTCTTCTCTTTTGCCGCACATTTACTAAGCTTCATTTTGGTGGGACGAAATGAAGGGAAAACTTTTGGAAAACGAGTTATCTGTTCTTGTACTTACATTGTTTACAAGTGGGAGTTGTTTGTTGCGTTCCAGCTGTGGCTGCTTTGTATTTTCCTCCTCTTCACTTTTATAGCTGTGCTCCATAAGCGCAACAACATCCACAAGAGGATTAGCCAGTCTGGGAATCAAACTCAGCTTCATCAGCCGCCTCTCCCCTCCCCGCTGCAAAACGTAAATCTCATGGCCCGCGGTACTGACGTCCACAATGTCACCAAGGTTGCCATGGTAACCAACAAGGGCGCAAGGCGAGGGGTCTAGGACCCACAGTCGTGACGTATCCCAGGTAACAAAAAACTGCCCGTGCAACAGTCTCAGGGGGCCAAACTGGGGTTGATAGTCTGGGGGAAGTTTTGTCAGCGTGGGCGGTGGGGGGTTTAGTATCATGATACCTGGGGGATTTTCATTAGTCAAACCCTTGTACATTAGAGTTGACAAGACCTTCCCATTGGTGTCAGCAGTCCACAGGCGTTGGCCTGGCCTTGAGGTGTACACAGTCGGTTGCTTCTTCAACCTCTCGTCCGATATTCCTCTTGCTGGTGGATAGAACATGGCTCCAAATCGTCCTGGACTAAACGAGCAAAGCAAATACAGCATAATTGAATAAACTAGTAGTAATAATAGATTAGTGAGTACGTTCGACTTTTCTTAGCTTTACTGTCAAGTATTAGTCCTAAATTAGCTAAAGGTGAAGCGAAACTGTTCTAAAAATTATAAAAATTCTGTCTATGCTCTCCGCGTAGACGGCTTCATATATTAAAAATAAAATATCTTATCCATCCTCGAGTATAGCCCACAAAAATGGCAAGGAGATCGTAAAAATCTACAGTATATTTTGTCCGGGAGGTTCTTTGCACTACACAGTTAGCCGTGGTTTTCCTTTGGTTATAAACAATAGTTAGCCAGCCGGAATAAAAACATATAAAAGGCAAAAAGAAATGAACAGCGGTACAATGTGAGGCAATGGATGGCGCACAAACCTTAGGACAGGAATTAACTTCGACGTAGTCTTTATCAGCAGAAAGTAATTCAAGCATTAATTACGGTGCCACCATTTTTTTTTCTAATTTAACCAAAAGAAAATGGGAGAATTTTATTAACATGCACTGACCTTTTCCTTTCTTTTTGTCCAACTTGAGTAACCTTCTCAGAATGAAAGTCCCACAGAACAGTCTTTTTCTCAGATGAAATCAAAAGAGCGTCCCATGAATATGACAGCTGGACAATGGGAGAAGCCTCTCGTAAAATCATCGCCGTCTGAGTAAGTTCCTATTTGAGAAAAAAACACTGTTTTTTAAGCTGATTTTCAACTTTTAAACATTTTTTGTGGCACACATTTCTTTGTTCATGGTTCAACACTGGTCTTTATGAACATTGAAATCTGTGGTTGAAAAGGTCAGATGCAAACCAGAGAAGTTAAGTAATGTGACCGTTCACGGGAAAACATACTTTAACGCTTATCCGTTAGACGGGCGAAACCGTTAACCATCCGTTAGTTACCCGTTAGAAAATTTTCTTGTAAACGTTAGAGGCGTTCACCTAACCGTTAGCAGTAAAAGTCAAAACGTTAGAGGGGAAAGTGAAAGCGTTAGCCGTTAGCCTGCATCCGTTAGCCGTTAGCATCATACCGTTAGAACAAAAAGCCTAACATCGCAGAGCCGTTAGAAAAAAAGTAGCATCCATTACAAGGTAATGTAACTGTTTGCCATATGTTAGAATGGCCCGGCAACGGTTATAGGTAATGAAATCCGTGTATTGGAAGACGTGAGCTAATTGTCTCGGCCTGAATTCGAATTCATAAGCTAGGGTGCAAATGCATGATAATGGGTATTAAAGGAGCGAAGGGACGAGCAAGCGCCGGGGATAGTCTCGTTCGCATTACAGAGAGCGATGTACTTGAAGAGGGAATAAGATGAGTGACTTAATTCCGGGTTCATTGTATGCATTTAGTAATTTAGCTCGAGATTCGACAAACTGTGCGCTGTTCACCGATAAAGTATTTATGACACGACGGAATCCATCAACAATGCATGCGCGATTAGTTCGTTCCAAAAAATCCAATTGCGGGGGGATGTTTTTATGACTATTTTTCCAACATGAACCATACCGTTGCAACGCATTGCGATACGAAGTGAGTATGGAATTCATGCCAATACAAAACGTACTATGTAGCTGGCGTTAAATTCTCGTGGGGATATTGCCTTTTTTGCTGTAGTAACGATTTATAAACGTGTTCTTTGACTGTAGAGTATGAATGGCGCCAACTGCAAACGCTCAAGTAGATCAGATGCGAGCGTTAGGACACTTTCACGGTTATGCGTAAGATTTATTCACAGCCGTTAAACGGTTGCCGATCGTTTTTATGAGCCGTTAAGCAGAATTACTAAACCGTTAGACCGTTAGGGCAAAGCGTTAGGACGTGTTAACTAGCCGTTAGGCAAAACTTGCTAGCCGTTAGAACGTTAGCACAAAGCGTTAGAACGCTTTGAAGGCCGTTAACTATCCGTTAGTTATCCGTTAGTTTTTAGTCGTTTAACGGATAAGCGTTAAAGTATGTTTTCCCGTGAACAGTCACAGTTGAGGAAAATGTAACAATAGTATGTAAAAAAAAGGTCACAAGCCAAAACTCAGGTCTTCTACAGTTAAAAAAATAACGCTGTGGGATTAAAGAAAAAGTCATTTAGGTTATGTGCTCCCAGCTTTTTAATTGTACGAAAGTTATTTACTTAACAAAGTGCTGTTTTACAATTTTATCACCGTTGTTACTGTACTTCCAGATAGAACTAAACCACTTTCGTAAAATCCAGCCAGTGGTCTATTATCAATGCTGCATTCTGATTGGTTGAGCTACTACTAGGCCATATCTCTAATATGTTATAGCCCACTAGTAGTGAAAGGCACCGGCTTTGAAAACAAAAACAATGGCGGCTGAATCGCGTTTTGCTATTTTTGACCAACAAATTGGATTTTACCAAACCATTATTCCTCTCGCCCTCATGGCCTTTGAGTCAATACCCCATTCGGCCTTCAGCCTCATAGGCTATTGACTCAGAGGCTATGAGGGCGAGAGGAATATTATTGTTAAACAGCTATCATTAATACTGTATTTGTTACTTTTTTTTTTGTGCACAAAATATTACTTACCTCGTGAAGCTTTACCACAGTGACATAAACTTTGCCCTGTACATCCCCGCTGTAAAGCAGTTCGCCATCAGGAGACCACTCCAGACAGGTAACTGGACTGTTATGGGCCCCACTTACATGCATGGTCTGAAGCTACAGATACAGGTTGTAAATACTAGAATTATATTAACCGCTTACTAACCGGGCACGAGGGCCAATATAGTACAGCCCTCGTGCTAGGTTAGTAAGCAGAAACGCGCGTTATTGACCTAGCATGAGGTCAACATGGCTGTTTATTGGCCAAGTTCATCTTTGCATTTTTACAGACCAAGATGAATATTAGCCTGTGTACAGATGCCCCCCTCCCCTCAGAAAAAATCGGGAGGGGTTGAGGTCAGTAAAAATGCAAAAGAGAACAAGGCCAACATCCAGCCATCTTGAACAAACATTTGCCTGGTCAATAAACGATTTATTACATGGCCAAAAAGGGAACTCTTTCTTGTTAGATCAATGCAAGAAACTCTGAGTGGTCCAGATGGGTCCATCTTGCTCCTCCGGGAGTCGCAAATAACAACACACGATTCATTTCATCTTGCCAGCCCATGGATTCAGCCACACAAATGGAATGATAACAGAGAAATCAATGCTCATTAAACAAAATAGAGTGGCACAACAGGGGTATCAAACTGGGGTGGCTCAAAGTGGCCTAATGTGGCCCTCAAATGAAGGAAAAATTTGACCAAATATTGCAAAATGAAAGAGGTGAGATTTAATGACAACTTTCCATAAATTATTCCAGAACCAACAAGACGGCTATACCTTGACTACATGTACATATATTCTCACTGTACCTTGCCAAATCCTTGTGAAGCCAAAACAAACGTAAAAATTGTGATTAGTCCACTGTTAAAGCCAACTGCTGCATAACTGTGGGCAGGCAAAACCCGCACACACTTGGCAGGCTCATGAGTTACCTAAAAAATACAAAAAAATTCAGGGTTTCTCTACATCAGACATATTTCCATAGTATGAAAATTAATGATTGGTGGTGTGCCAATAATCAATTTATTATTACAATGTACAATCAGTCATTGATCAAAACGTTTAAGGGATGCGATTATAATCGATAATGCAAAACGCTCAACCGATGATCACAGAAAAAAGTAAAATTTCTTGTTGGCAAATAAACATATTAAAAACTTGTGTATTGTCTAGAAAATGGTGCCATAATTAAAGACTAAGGAGAATTTGATCACCTGAGTTCAGTGGTCCATGATCAAAAGACTGCCAATAAAGTTTATAATTATTTCATTGTACTTTGACTTGCACAAAGGTGAAAATTTTATAAATAGAATTGTTATAGAGATTTTTTGAACTTTATATAATCAATAATCCATGGGGTAGGTCAATTCGGTTAGCCATTGCTAAGGTTCAAAATCAACAAACCTACATGTACAATATATGTAGTGGAACCTCTTCTTTGGGACACCTCAATTCAGGGACCACAAAATTTGTTCCTGGAAAAATTTTGATAGGATCTTTGTACATGTTACTTCTACTGAAGGGACACCTCTATTCAGGGGAAAGGGACACTTTTTTTAGGTCCTGAAACCAGGGTTTAACCTCCATTCTGGGGAAACCCTAGCACTCAAAAAGTGACAGACCACAAACATTGTTGATACATGCAAGTTTAAGTGTTCACTAGTCACAATGGCAAAAGCTTTCAAAACTTGAACTATCTCACTTACAATCGATGTACTGTACTTTTAACACACAACATCGAAGAGATAAGTTATTTATGATTTTTTACACATTATCTAGCTGCTTGAAATAATGACTGCAGTGGATTCCAGGCCAGACTAAAAGCAAATTTTATACTGTACTTTATTTGCTGGTTAATTATTAAAAAAAGCCCAGCCCAACCTCTATTCAGGGGACACTTGCGTTAGTCCCAAGGCTGTCTCCTGAAAAGAGGTTCCACTGTAAAGTAGAAACTATACCACATGCTCTAAGCAAAAAAACTCACCTCTGATGGAAGTTTTGACAGTCTCTTACAAGTCCGATCATACAGGAAAATAGCTCCTAAATTTGTGCCAAGCACTATAGCATCAAATGAAACATCCAAACAAGTGTACTCGATCGTGAAGGATTTAAAATTGTCATGAGCTCTCTCTTTCAGGGCATTGAACAAGTTCTTTACTCCATGTCCTTTGGTACGGTCCAAGACATGACCCATTAAGTTCTTAGTTCCATACTGTGCTTTATATGGTAGACAACTGAGGATATCTTTCAGTGGTTCTAACTCAGAAAGGACAATGTCCCTCCCAATGACAAAATCTAGAGGTAAGCAACACATTGCATTATTAAACCTAGCTGTAATGGGAAACACTAAGTCTTAATCACTTTGTCTGATGCAAGTTTCTTTTGCAGCCAAAAACAGTTTGTTTCAGGTACACTGTATTGCTGAGAAAGCCAGGTGTTGTTAGTATTAATTTTCATGTTTGTGTTTAATACAGAGGCCATGTTAGGGTAAAATTTCAACAAACAACATGGTTTCGAAACAGCTACATAAGACCAGATAAAAGGTGACAAATGATATAAAGTTGGGTTAAGTACCGACAGGGACATAGCCTACTCCTCAAACTGCGAAACGACCATATTTGAAATTTAAACTAGGGACATACGTACCCCCAACCCCCCCCCCAAGAGGGCCTCAGTTCACATACAGCTGTAGGTTTTCCTCTTTATTCCAGAGTAAATCCAATTTTCCACTGTATTCATCACCATTTTAAGACCATGTCATTTGTTGGACTATTTACTCTAAAAGGACCTTTGTTGAATTGCAGTCTTTTAGCCAGAAATTTGTTTTGCTCAACAGCATTTTACCAGGACTTAAGCTGATTTACCCAGATGCATAAAACGCTTTAACAAAAAAAAAGACATGTCCAGCAATCTTATTTTACTGATTGGAGCTGTTAACTTAAGTGTGCAGTCACTGTACATGTATTTCCACACTTATTCCACTTTGTTCAGGCTCAATTGACATTCAATAAGGCAAACTGCTAAAGGGCAAATTGACTTTCAGGACAAATAGTCAAAAACACGAGTACATACATTAAGTTAGGGGAACCATTTTACAAAAAGCATGATACAGCTGTCAAGTAGATAATATAGGCATTATTGCAAATGTACTTTAACCTGTCTGTGTACATTTCATAGTTATACATATTGGTTATGTTTTAGCTTGCATTGCTAGTAAAGGTGCCGAGAGAGACAAGGGAAACCTTCTGTACAGCCATATACATGTACATCAACAAAATTGTATTTGTTGACTGCCCGTTGAATTTTAATTCAGTAGGGTTTAAAAACTCCGCTGCTTTTTCATGTTCACTTGAAATAACATGCCAGTGCCTGCCTTCACACAACTTTTGATGGAACTGAGCGGAAATTTGACCCAAAAGAGAAACCTAAGAGACTTGAGCACTATAAGATTCATAGAAAGCGAAAAATTATAACATTTCACAGTCGACTGAAGTCAAAATAGAATCATGTGATGGGCCGGCAGTCATATTTCGACACCTCTAGCTTGAATTATGAAAAGACAAAAAGAAAGGAAGTCCTGAGATGTGATCACTCAAAATACAGCGGTTAAACGAACTTGCAGAGGTACATTTTTCATATTGTTAACTTTAATATTTAAACGAATCTTTAACTATTCTCTTAACAATCTCCGGTACGATCCGTCTCGAAATACTTTGCAATTTGCAAACTCACCTTGAGGTGTCTCCATTCCAAATAATCCAATCTATCCCATTTTTATATCACTCGATACAGACGTCTTGAAATGCAATAGGGAGAATACCTTGTCGACGTCAACTTAAGAAACATTATTGCAACCATTGCAAAAACTGTAAGCATTCCGTTCCAAAACCAGGCGCCATGTTTACAATTATTTCTCGAGCCCGCGGTCAGCCCTCGGTGTTGTGGTGCATTGGTTATGTACTGTGTCTACGGTGTCATGTAATGAGTCTGGACTTTGTCCCCCGAGATCGTGCTCTCCTTCGCGCGCGTACTGCGTAACAGTTCAGGTTAGGGAAAGTTCATTTAATATGACAAGGGGATGAAGATATTGAGGGGGGCTCCTAAAATTTTTAGACACCTGAAGGGGGGGCTCTGAAAAAGTTGTTGCGCTAGGAGGGGGGCTCCGAAAATTTGTATACTTCAAAACCAACACATGACATCATCGTACAGGTCGGATGGTTTTCAACTCAACAATTTAATGACCTGTGCAACTCAGCTATATCACGTGGTTTACAGATATAACAAATGTAGTCTCAGTAATTATTACACTCTTGTTCATCCTAAAAATGCTTTAGAAATTGTATCACAACTGTATCTCAAGTTTGTCATAGTATAAACCATTGAAGACAATAACGGTAAATATATTTAATACAGTCTAGCGATCTTTTTTCAGGGGAGCAAAGGAATTGAAGGAGAAGGGGGGGGGCTCTGAAATTTTTTCAACTACCAAGGAGGGGGTTCCTAAAAAATTGAACCGCTAGCGAGGGGGGCTGCTAAAATTTCAAGCTTCGAGTTTCAATATCTTCATCCCCCCCACCCCCCCCCCTTGTCATATTAAATGAACTTTCCCTTAGAGAGGAGCTATTTTCCTGTATGATCGGACTTGTAAGAGACTGTCAGAACTTCCATCACAGGTGAGTTTTTTTTGCTTAGAGCATGTGGTATAGTTTCTACTTTACAGTGGAACTTCTTTTCAGGGGACACCCTTGGGACTAACACAAGTGTCCCCTGAATAGAGGTTGGGCTGGGTTTTGTTTAATAATTAACCAGTAAATAAAGTACAGTATAAAATTTGCTTTTAATCCGTTCCGAAAGGGGTCCATAGCCACCTATGGACCTTTTTAGGAACGGAACGGATACAACTGGAACGGGTCAAGTACCGTTTACGAATTTTGTCGGAGCCGTTCGTCTTTTTATCCGGGCTGTTCCAATTTTTCGGTCGTGTAAACGGGCCTCACGAAAGCGGAATGCGACACCGGACTATTCTCGTCATTCATCTGGCCTGCGGGGAGGCTCCACCCGAAATGGGTGAATTTTCCACTGGCACTGCTACTTCTGTAGCTGGCACCGCTACTTATTCAAACAGATGCCGTAGCATGAAATTGGCCATTTCGGAGTTGCGAAGGGAACTGTGGCGAGTTTCAAATTTAATTTAAACTAATCGATAAACTGACACCACCATAAAAAAGGTCATGTCGAGATTGGTTATTTGACCAAGTTGGGATCAAGTTAGGGACGGACCATCAGAAAACTTATGGAAGGGGGGCGGGCGAAGTACAAAAAAAAATTCGCGCAAGGGAAAATTAAATGAAAAAAAATTCATGCGTGCCAATTAACCCTAAAAAATAGTCATGCCACGGCCTAAAAAAATTCATACAAGGAACATGATAACAAAAAAATTCCTAGGGCTCAAAAATTCCCCAGCTCCACCGCCCCCGTAAATTTTCTAATGGTCCGTCCCTTATGACTCTTGAAACATGGTTAAAGATCCACCCAAAACGTCTGTAATTTTGTGACTGCGGTTTCAGTTTTTTTTGTTAAACTGTAAAATTCGTCATGCATCTAGCTACTACTTAGAAAGAACTAATTCCAAAATCACTATGCTTGCCCATTTCAGGACCCCAGGTCTTTCAGGAATATCACAGAAATCGTGAAAAAAAGTAAGAGTTTATACGGTTTTGGGGGACGTTGTCACAAAATTACAGACGCTTGTATGATCTTTAACCATGTTTCAAGAGTCATAATTTGATCCCTGATGAACTTTAAAGCACCAAACTTGGTCACATAACCAAACTGAACATGACATTTTATATGGTGGTGTCAGTTATATCGATTAGTTTAAATTTGAAACTCGCCCCAGTTCCCTACACCAGTCCAAAATGGCCAATATGGGGCACCAGGCGACTAAGACCACACGCGGTTCTCGCACTGCGCGCTACATACGGGACGAGATTACTGTGAACTCGCTTCGCAGAGAAGAAAAGTAACGACAGTAACGTAAATTTTCTACATTGCAATTGCCAATAAATGGCTTTAAAACAAGACGGTGTGCATTTTGTCTTTTGTCCCTGAAACAGGGTAATAAAATTGAGAGTGTTGTCCTAAACAGGGTATGTATTTTAAGAATTTTTTGTCCTAAACAGGGTCAGGGTTTCAAACCCTGAGCGGCTCACCTATAGCTAAATATTGTTCGAGTCATTTAGGTCAGAACGGTCTACAAAACGAATCAATATATCTGTATTTTTATGTTTATTAGTTCTTGTTTTTACAATGTTAATATTGTTAGTCGAACAACAGTAAGTTAAAAGGGTCCTTTCTCAAACCGTGAGCACAGTTTATTTCATATTAGGTATTTTGAGAATGGACCTCTAGAGCCAGGGTACTGGCAATCATCTCTCAACAAGCCCATGCAAGTTGAGAATTAAGAAATTGATCACCTCCAACATGACTTGTATGTGAACACTTCATACAAATTTGCTTCTGCATGGGTATTTGTTTCGCAGCATGTACATGAATAACTATGAACACTCACATAAATGATTTGGTACAGTTTACAGGGATTCAGTGCTAACAAAGGCCCACGTATTCAATGATCATAAGTCATGATCTCTTTCATAATTCTCATGAACTGTATCCTTAATGACATTGCTACATGTAATGTCTATTTCAGTGATTATGTTTGCACCTTACCGTTACAAACATTTAGTTGTCAAGAGTGATTATATGCTAAAACAAGTGCAAACACTCTCGTTGCTGAAGTTTACTTAACAACATATATTTTTTCCTTCAGTTACCAGGATTTACTTATTATTTTCACTACAGCATATTTATTTCCTACCATTTCATCCACTCACCACTACTAACATACCTCACAAATTACTATTATCATTATCATAATTATTATTATTATCATTATTATTACTATCATTACTGTCGAACCTCCATGTGCAACCATGCCCAATAAGCGACCACCTCTGTTAGGCGATCACGACCACTATTTAAGCCTGAAAGTTTAATGATTTTCCATTGTTTTTAACCTCTGGTAAGCAACCACTTGACGCATTCTCTGATCTCTCTATGTTCGCTGTGTGCACTATACAACTTAAAATATATGAAGAACTTTAGTACCCACATGAAACTACACATTACATGGTGTAACTTAGAAATTACATGCAATCAATTATCTTCCACAAAGATGTGCCGGACCTCTTCTTGGAAGAGGCCCTTTGTGGTCGATTCTTGTATGGGATCACCTCCTGTAAGTCAAGTCTTATCATTATCACTTACTAAGTATTACAGTTGTCATGGGTTAGCTTTTATTAAGCAGATGCAACTGCATATTAGCCTGCAGTTATCCACTATCACACCCATTTCCTTTTGACTATAATTACACATGGTAGGAGGGTCAAATGGGGTGAACATGCATGGACCTATGAAACATTGGCTACCCTTCCTTAACAACACAACCCACAAGATTCTTTTTAAAGACAGAGCACTGGGTTCAAATTTCCTCCGAAACAAAAGGAGATTAAGTACTTCTCACCTTCCAATATTAGAGCCAATGTTAAGACCAGCCCTCCTCAATCACACAATTTACTCTATTTCTCTCCCACCCTCCCATCCCAGGCATTTTATCGGCCTCCCCAGCTTCACGTGGTTCTGCGATACACGTGTTTCTACTTAGATTAGTCATTGTAGAGAAAAACTGTCTGGTTTGGTAGGGTGAGGACCATAAATATACGCCTAAACTCTAAAGTTGTTCCTTATGTCATCAACAGATTCACATCTATGGCATTTCGGAAAGGACTTTCGGTCAGGTGCACACTGAGGCTCATCAAATTGGCATGTGAACAATATTCAATCTTCGCTCCAAGTAGTCCACTCTTTCCTCTGTGACGTGCTTGACTGTTGCAGGTTCTAATTCGGAGAAACGCTTATGTTTCTGTAACTGCACCCATTTCTTATCTGTCTGCGACACAAACTGATCCACACATCGTTCAACTATCCATTTTTCGACAGAATAATTTTCGCTCACGATTATCACTTCCACTGCTTCGTCTATGTTCATGCCATCTCGGCGCCAGTAGCTCAAATATTCCTTGCAGCGGGTTTTCAATCGATCAATTTGATATTCAGTGGAAAGCTTCAGAAGGAAAAGACAGTTTTCCTTTGAAATCCAGAGATCCTCATCAGGATAAATACCTTGAAGCAACTGCTCTATTTCTGTCGCATCTTTGCCCGGAAGTGGTATTTTTTTGGCAGATTTCTCTTTGAACTCTGAAGACAACATCGCCTCGAAGACTGGCGAACACACCATCAAAACGGCTCGATGAACATGAAATTCCCTGTCTTCGACTTGAAGAATCAGGTCACTTGATTTCCATGGGCGTGAAAATCTGCGTAATACCCCTGATGACCCTTTCCTGAATCAAAACCATTGGATTGCATTGAATGCAACATTCTCACTCTCTGCAGATCCTCAATTAACCCCCTGCCCCCCTAAGAATGTGATCCCAAACCCCTCCCTTTTGAAGAAAAATGTCGTAAAATAATCAAAGTACCTCCTCATGAGCACGAAATGTTTGGTGCAATTCATACCATACAATATCGCTGTATCAAGACTTAGTACTGTTCTCGGTGCAGGAGGTGGGGGTACTATAATGGCCTAAACAGAGCCTGAAGCCTTTTTCAGGCTTCAAGTACATGAAAGGGAAGGGGTTTTTATAGTGAAGTATATGAAAGGGACCAAAATGAGATCAGTCACAGATGCATTTTATGGATGTGAGAGACAAGAAAACATGTTTTAGCTATTTATTCATATTGTAAAGATGGTGTATTTACAGCAGTTAAAAAGGGATGCAGCGTTCAAAATAAGGTATGTGAAAGGGGTACCATTTGTCACTAGAGGGTATACAAAAGGGGTACCTTTTCTGTCTAAAATGGTACATACAAAGGGTAAAGGGTTGGTCCCTGGGGAGAGCCTCTTTGGTGAGTACCCCCCCCCCCCCCTCTGGGTTACTGTTACTCTAGTCTGATTCTTCTCTTTAATTTCTTTGATACTGTGCTTCATTAAATGAATTAAAATTCATTTAAAAGCTTCTTGCCCCTTTTTTGAAAACCCCTATATGTTAAAAGAAATTATGTCCCCTGGAGGGGAAATAAAATCAGGGAAAATGGGTAGCAAGATCTATTGTGTTATTTTACATGCATTGAGTAAGCATAATGTGGCCACTATACACATACAGTTGCGCATGTTTACTGAAAAACGTATTGGCACTCCAATCTTTTGCCTCCCATCACTTGTGTGAGACCTTAGACTCTTTATTTCCAAAACTACAGACAGCTTGCTTGAAGGCTTATCAACCACCGTCTAATAAGCTGCCAACCTCTGCAACATTGATGATGTGATGGTTGATGGTAGGTGCACTGCAATATTACTAAATCAAGCTAATAAAGCAGCTTGACAATATTACAATGTAACTGGTTTAAGTCACTGATACATTCAGTTTTACACTGAGCTTGAAATATTTTTCTCCACAGTAAAAATAATGTTCATTAAAGAGAAGCAGAGCTCCCCTCTGCAAAAACATTAAACGAGTCCCCCTAGAAAAAAAAAAGCATCCAGAGGGCTAAACAGAGGAAGTATACTTACCATGCATATTTTAACAGCTAGCCTTTAGAAAGTACCTTCCAACCAAAGACTTTAAAGTACTTCCCCCACGTATACTTACAACACTTAATATTGCAGCTCAGTTGTGGTTCACTTTTATCCTAAGTTTGAATTTTATTCTCTTTGTTTTGAACTCATAATCATAAAATTCATATTACCGTACCCCCAAACAAAGGGAAGCAAAATCTAAACCTAGGTTATAATAAAATAAAACCACAGCATAGCCATTTGCTTTGAAACAACTGACATCTTTAAGACCAAGGTATGATTGATGTTCCTGGCACATTGCCCGTTAATATGTTTAAAGTTGCCTTTTATTGATGTATTAAATAACATGATCCATCTTATCTTTTCAAACAATACAATTGCACTTACTTCTCATCATAGGTTTGTAAATATAATATTATTAGACTTACAGTTTTATCTCATCGCCAACATGTTTTAATTTGGGCTTGAAAAAACGCTACAGCTAGGAAGGAGCCCCACTGCTACACTATTACTGTCGAGGAAATACACCTGGCTGCTTCGATCTACGTTTTCTTTCAGCATGTATTTAAGCCAAAATCCTACGAAAAGCGTCAAGCAAAAGTAGTTCATTGCTTTGTGAGTTAGACCCAGTATAGATTCGCTTGAGTTCCAAATACGGCTGTGCTTTGAGAGTTTTTGTCTCGACTGTAGCTTCTTTCAACTGCTGTTAGAGCATATTTTGTTGTTTATTAAAACGCAAAAGCGTGAAAAATGTCATGACATTATTACCTCCGTATTATTTCAAGCACCTCATGAGCATATAGTTCATTAGTAAAATAGCGACCTTAAGTGTTGTTTCGACGCTTCTCTATCATCGATCTTACCGCGTTCTTGATCCTTACCGGCCATTTTGGATTTTTATGGAGGTTTCCGCTGACAACTCGTTCCCAGACTTCCGTTCCGCGTTCCCCGCTCCCCGCTCCCCGTTCCCCGTTTTAGTAACATCCCGATAAAACCCGGAACACGGAACATTCCGGAACATGCCGGAACATTCCGGAACATCCCGGAACATCCCGGAACATGAAAAAATAAAAATAATTTTCATGAAAAAAAATATAATAAAATAATAATAATAAAACAATTTTTGTAAAAATTAATAATAACGTAAAATAACAAAAGAAAAACGAAAAACATTACAAGCCGCAGGCTCGATTTTCGGGGGATTGCGACGTTCAGCGTCGCAATCTTCGCATATTTCTGAAGGGCGAGGCGCCAAGTCTATTGTTTTGAACCAAGGGTTATATTACATCAAAAGACCCTGAGCCTATCTTAAAGCTGTCAACAATGTTCGTTTTATTGAGCAATCTTTCATCTTCGACACTTAATCCAGTTTATCTTAAGTGGACACCCAACCTAGTTGCTATTCACGTGTACTGTCGAAAGCATAATATCAAATAGACTTCAAAAATTCTGCATTGGAGCTTCACTCTTCGTCTTTAATTTTAGCCGACCCACTCAATAAACAATAAATAAGAACAATATTACCGAAAAATAATTACAACTGAGAACTTGATGAATAAACAATGAAAACAACAAGTCAATTATCTCTCAGGGAGATCACCGCCAAAGCGGATACCCGCGAGGTTTGTTCGGTTTCAACATAGACGGAGGAACTTTTTACAACCCTAGTATAAATCTGGCCTAATTGTCACTTGATCGAAGAGAGATATTTACGCAAAAAAAAACTATCACAGTTCACAAATGATTTAGACATTATCTTAATATTTTACCTTAAACTGTCGAAATTAAAGTATTGCCGCCCGCGGACAAAACTAGCTTTTTTCCGGTTTCCGGTGTACATCAAACACAGGCATCACGCTGAATATTATCCAGACTGAGAGCCGTAGATCAGAAAAAAAATCACAATGACTAAATTTCGCTTTTGAAACCAACGCCACTCGTCGTAAGATTGGGCGCATCGCATAAGAGGTAAAGACTTAAGAGGGAGAGAAAATAAAAATCTACTGAATTATATACACTAACAAAAACAAAATATGAACAAGAACAACAACTCTGTAACGACTAGCTAAAACACGATCGATTCAAGCTGTGACTTACTTTGTACTTTATCACAGCTTCTTAAGAATGAGCGCGCTGCCTGTAAGCCATTAGGAAGAGGAGAGAAAAATCTACCGAATTATACAAACTAAAGCAATGTAAAAAAAGCTGCATTAACTAGCTAAAACACGATCGATTTTAGCTATGTACTATTCACTTTAAGAAAATCTCCCTTCACCTCTTAAACTTGGGCGCGCCGCCTGTAAGCCAAAAGGGAGAGGAGAGAATAATCTACTGATTTACCAAACTAACACAGCGTATAAAAACTGCAATTGGCTAGGTAGTAAAACATGATCGACTCAAACTACAAATGTTTCAATCTAAAAAAATCTCTCTTCACCTCTTAAACTTGGGCGCGCCGCCTGGAAGCCAAGGGGGAGAGGAAAGAGTAACCAAACTAACACAGCGTATGAAAACTGCAATTGGCTAGCTAGTAAAACATGGTCTATTCAGGCTACGAGTTTTTTACCGTTGAAAAAAAAACTCTCGTCACCTCTTAAACTTGGGCGCGCCGCCTGTAAGCTAAGAGGGAGAGGAGAGAAAAAATTACTGAATTATCCAAACTAACAACGCATGAAAACTGCACTTGGCTAGCTAGCTAAAACATGACGATTCAATCTACGAGTTTTTTACCTTAAAAAATCTCTCTTCACCTCTTAAACTTGGGCGTGCCGCCTGTAAGCCAAGAGGGAGAGGAGAGAATAATCCACTGAATTATCCAAACTAACATAGCGCATGAAAACTGCAATTGGCTAGGTAGTAAAACATGATCGATTCAAGCTACGAGTTTTTTACCCTTGAAAAAAATCTCTCTTCACCTCTTAAACTTGGGCGTGCCGCCTGTAAGCTAAGAGGGAGAGGAGAGAATTACGTACTGAATTATCCGAACTAACACAGCGTATAAAAACTGCAATAGGCTAGCTAGTAAAACATGATCGACTCAAGCTACGAGTGTTTCAATTTAAATATTTCTCTCTTCACCTCTTAAACTTGGGCGTGCCGCCTGGAAGCCAAGAAGGAGAGGAGAGAGTAACCAAACTAACGCAGCGTAAGAAAACTGCAATTGGCTAGCTAGTAAAACGTGGTCTATTCAAGCTACGAGCTTTTTGCCCTTGAAAAAAATCTCTCGTCACCTCTTAAACTTGGGCGCGCCGCCTGTAAGCTAAGAGGGAGAGGAGAGAATAATCCACTGAATTATCCAAACTAACATAGCGCATGAAAACTGCAATTGGCTAGGTAGTAAAACATGATCGATTCAAGCTACGAGTTTTTTACTCTTGAAAAAAATCTCTCTTCACCTCTTAAACTTGGGCGCGCCGCCTGTAAGCTAAGAGGGAGAGGAGAGAATGACCTACTGAATTATCCAAACTAACACAGCGTATAAAAACTGCAATAGGCTAGCTAATAAAACATGATCGACTAAAGCTACGAGTGTTTCAATTTAAATAAATCTCTCTTCACCTCTTAAACTTGGGCGTGCCACCTGGAAGCCAAGAGGGAGAGGAGAGAGTAACCTAACTAACACATCGTAAGAAAACTGCAATTGGCTAGCTAGTAAAACATGGTCTATTCAGGCTACGAGCTTTTTGCCCTTGAAAAAAATCTCTCGTCACCTCTTAAACTTGGGCGTGCCGCCTGTAAGCTAA